TTCTTTTTATTGCAAAATTTTGATATATATACTCGCGGTTGCAATATCTTAAAGCGGTAATATGTTCTGTGGTACTAAGTAAAGCTGCATTAACAATTATTCACTATGTTCTTTACTATTTATGTTTTTTAAGTCCTGTTTTGTTATACAAATAATTGAAACAATCTAAATCTAAAAAAAAAAAAAAATTCCCCCATAGCAGCCAAAACAAAAAAAAAAACTTTAAAACAAAAAAAGTTTCTAAAATATTATTAAAACCCCTAAATACACGCAATATCGAAAAAACAATTGTACCATTCCAAATAAAAATTCAATAATTTATTACAAAGTTTCCACATTGTCATCCCTATATGCACATGCAACACATGTTTCAAATCCCACAGGTGTCCCTTTATTTCCCCCATATTCATTGATTTAAATGCCCTCATTTGCCTGGGAAAGTTAGTTGTAACAAAACAAGTTATGAAAGCCATTTGAATGTCACGAAAACAAAAAACTGAAATTTGTCCAAATCGTGGAGGAAGAAACAGTGATTGATATGAACTCAAGTGTTTTAGTTAGTGTAACGATAATAAGTATCTCTTTTTTATTTATTTATTAGGTAAAAACATGATAAGGCTCCTTAAGTAAATGTTTATTTATTTCAAATACGTAATTAATTTATATGGAGTGCAAAAAATTGCACCCGGTAAAAAAGAATAAATGAGGCAGAGAAGGGAGCAACGAACAATTTCCATATTAATTTGAAAAAAAAACTGATAAGTAAAAAAATGCGAACTTCAAACACCAAATTTGAAATAATTCGGTTGAAAAGTGTAGCGAAACCATCAATATAACAAATCATCAAAATACCGAATAATTTAAGGGACCGTTAAATATGTATAGCGTCCAAAGACCGGCATAGGCAATTTTCTACCATAGGATGTAGTATCTATTTCGAGCTCCAAATACCAATTTTGAAAAAACGAATGAAAAGTGTAACGCAAGTCAAGTCAAAAAGCTGGAAGTTCGGCAGGGCCGATCTTTGATTACCCTCTAACATTTTGAACGATTTTGGCAATTTTCAAAAAAATAAAATCCGTTAAAAATTCTGTTAAAATCTTAAAAATACCGAATTTAGCCGTTTTATTAGTGTTTATACGATGACTTGGACGACTTGCATAGACAACTTTTGTGATAAGCCATTACAATAGTCAAATGACATCGACCTGTCATAGCCTGTAGTATCCATTACGAACTTCAGATATCGTTAAAGCCATCAAAATACTGAATATCTGGAAGCACCGTTAAGTTGGGGCCATACGAAGACGTGGACCTGCACAGACAATTTCCTGTCTTAGGCTGTAATATTCCTTTCGAACTTCAAACACCAAATTTGAAACAATTCCTGTGAATAATGTCGCTAAAATCATTAAAATATCCAATATCGGGGGGTGGGATCTATACGAAGTCGTTGACCTGCACATATAATTTTCTGTCATAGGCTGTTGTACCCATTACGAACTTCAAATACCAAATTTCAAACAATTCCGGTGAATAATGTCGCTTAAATCACCGAAATTCCAAAACATGACCCATTTTCAATACCAAAAGTCCTGCGGACATAATAGACGTTTGAGTAAAATTTTATCAACCTACTTCATTTTGTTCGGAAGCTAGAGTGATTTCCGCAGACAGACAGACGGACGGACATGGCTAAATCGCTAAATAGAATTTTATGCTGATCAAGAATATATATACTTTGTGGGGTCTAAAATGTATATTTCGAGGTGTTACAAATGGAATGACAAACTTATGCTATGGTGGAGGGTATAACATTTTTTTCCTAAGAATATCGGGAGGTATAATTAAATGGGGACTATGCCAAGACTTTGATCTATATGAACAATTGTTTGCAAGAATATATCCTATATATTGGGAAAACAAGCTGCCAATTTACAGCAAATTCGGTTTTGAACTGTGACTAAAACAATCAAAAAATGGGAATTTTTCTTTCCAATTCACATTAAATTCCAAGATATTTTCCAGTAATTGCAGAACTTTCCATCCCTGCTCATTAGTAAATGATAAGAAAAATAATAAAAATGTTTATGATTTTGATAAAAAAAAAATAACATGCAACGACAATTCACTCCTTACTTAGAAAAATGGCCAGTCATTCAAAACAACAACGCAGTTTTTAGATCAAATATTTACAAATAACAACAACCGTGATATATTTTCATTCCGCAATGTAATATTTTAAAAAATTATATGACGACTTGCAATTCAAATGCTTTTTTTGAATCACCATATAAAATTCTATTCTCTAGCAAATGGTGAACAAATTAGAGATAAAGTTATATACAACTGATATGCATATTATAGATATATTATATTTCTAGATTTACGGATTCTCGAACCGACAAAAATCGGTAAAATAAAAATGCCAATAATTTCGGTCATTAACGAAATTTGCGATAAGTTAGCAACGAAATCAAAGTAGTCGCTAAAACCTACCGAAGACAACATTAATTTTAATTTAACTAACAAAATTTTAAGTTTAAAGTTACCGATTTTTGTCGGTAACACAAGAAATGAGTTAATGAATCCCACTACATGGGTGGTTCGGATCAGAGACGTACCAAAGATCTATTTCGAAGCTATTTGGGGGTCCAACTAGCAAATAATTCTACTTTTTCATCTAAAATTTACACAATCTGCATACGTCCTTGCTTTTAAATTAGTATATATATAAAATATTATTATATTATATATACAATATTTCTAATTCATATGTGTCTATAGATAAATGCATATGTATGTAGGTAGATACATTATATACTTTTATTTGGTTATCTAATAATTTATTTCGAAATTATTTTGCAAAGTCACGACTCAGAAAACAAAAACTGATACGCATATATATATTATCGCTATGTATATACTTCATTCATTTTGATAATTATTTCGTCATGATGACGCATGATCATCATGACTTTGTAAAATAAAACACGCAAGTGTTTTGTTTTGTATCCGATTCGAGGAGTGCATTAACTATTGATTTTAAAGTAAAAAGAAAACTATAAAATTGGAATAGCGTATATATGTATGTATCTGAAATATAATGAAATATTTATTTACATTAACAATTTTCACGATCCATGAGAAAGATACACACAACAAACAATTTCTAAGAAATTTATAGAGATCATTTTTCGTTTAAATGAATGGTTATTGTTGTGAAATGATCTAGTATTTATAAAGATTTAAAGTTTTTCTTCGAAGAACTTGAATGCGGGATCAAGAAAAAACTTCCTTTCTAACGAAGGATAACTTTCCCAAATAAAAAATAGAATAAAATTTGTGTTCAATTTGTGGCTTATATGAAAGGAAGTTCCGGAAGCCGAATCTATTTGAAATATGAGGTGCCTAGGAACTTCATTCAAATCGTTTCAATATGTTAGATGTAGTATCGACCCTATACCATTTGGAACGATTTTGGAAATTTTCAAAAAAATAAAATCCGTTAAAAATTCTGTTAAAATCTTAAAAATACCGAATGTAGCGTTTATGTTAGGGTCTATACGAGGACGTGGACCAGCATAGGCAACTTTTGTCATAAACCATTACAATATTCAAATGCGAAACTTGAATAAAAAATTCGGTGAATAATGTAGCTAAAATCATCAAAATTCCGAATATATAGAAGTACCGTTATATTGAGGCTATACGAAGACGTGGACCTGCACAGACAATTTTCTGTCAGAGGCTGTAGTATCAATTACGAACTTCAAACACCAAATTTAAAACAACTCCGGTGAATAATGTCGCTAAAATCGTGAAAATACCGAATATCGGGAGGTACCGTTATATGGGGGATATACGAAGACGTGGACCTGCACAGACAATTTTCTGTTATAGGATGTCGCATCCATTAAGAACTTCAAATACCAATTTTGAAACAATTCCGGTGTATAATATCGCTTAAATCACCAAAATACCGAAAAAGGGAGGTACCATATGGAGGCTATACCAAAACGTGGACCTACATCACCCATTTTTAATACCAAAAGTTCTGCAGACATAATACACATTTGAGTAAAATTTTATCAACGCACTTCATTTCGTTCGGAAGCTAGAGCGATTTCAACAGACGGACTGATCTGATCAAGAATATATACACTTTGAGGGGTCTAAAATGTATATTTCGAGGTGTTACAAACGGATTGACAAACTTAATATTATACCCTTAATATTATACCCTCCCTTCAATTTTTTTGAATATTTTTTCCAGTGGTAGGTATTTTCACCCTGATTCCGGAAAACTACTTCCTTCTTGGGGACCAATCCGTGATTCCAAATTTTTGACCCGAAAGTCCGGGTTTATGACCCGGATCCACTTACCCAATATAGGTTATGCAAGTGGAAAAAATCATATCTCTGAACCCAAAAAGGTATTTGGCATCAATTTTGTTGACCCCCATAATTGGAAACTTTTTCGACTTTTTGAGGGTTTTATAAAAAAAAACCTGGGCCCAAAAAATTGATAATATGACTATAACTTCCGAACTGCCTATATCGGGTAAGTGGTTCCGGGTCTAACTCGGACTTTTGGGTCAAAAATCTATGATACCAGGGTCCGTCCCCCAAGATCAAAATAGTTTCTCATAATCAGGGTAAAAATGCCAACCTCAAAAATCGAAGAGTTTTTACTAGAGTTGTTTCAGGTCTTGTTATTATGTTCTTGAATCTTATTTGTCTGCCACAACCAAACCACAACTAGGTTTATAGAAGACAAAAAATTGCAGACCAAAATTGTAGAAGGACCTCGTAGGAAAATAATTTCCTTTTCGTAGTCCCCTAAATTAATATCTAACGTCATTCAAAATAAAAAAAACAACAGATGTAAACCCGACGAAGACAATTAAAAAAAAACTTCATTATCCTCCTAACAATTTTACTTAAATGAAATAATAAATATTTAATTTAAAATAAAAAAAATTGAATAGTTTACTTACCGTAAATATAAAATGTAGGAAATTAAAAAACAAAACAAGACCAACTTCCTGTACACCAAAAATATCAGTGACTGTTTTTAAATTTTGTAATCTTCCGCCTTTGCAAAACTAGATAGATGACAGCCAAATTTCGGATGTCTTGGAATTTCACAATATTATTTGCACTTCAAACTCAAGAATATTTTCTTTTTTCTCAACAAAAACAAAAGTAACCAATAGGAATTTCTTCTGAAGGCCCCTGGATGTTGTGTTATTGCTGGTGTAGTGTATATTAATGACTGATGGTTTAGTTACTACCTTTCAAATATTTTTTCTATTAAGAGGGAACCATGAATATGGATTTATTCAATGACTTGACGTTTTTTTTCGGTTTTATTTCTGCGACGTTCTGAAGTCACTTTAATTATTCCAAATGTATGTATGAGTGTATGGGAAGGTACCAAAGATATCGGCCAACAGAAATACAAAATCACGTTACGGTAGCCAGAAAATAATGATGACCTCACCCCACACGTTGACGTCGATTTCTGTGACCCCAACGACAATAACAACACCAAAATGGTAGGAAGGAAATGTTATTCTTTTCCTCGCGGTTCTCTTTTGCCTCTTTAAACAGTGCTAGGCGCTATTGTTGTTCTGCAATTACTCTGACTGACTGCCTGACTGACCGTTGGCCAATGACCACCACAATTGCATGGGTACAATACAAATAGAATTGAATTTATTACGTGAACTTGTTGGATGAAAAATTTTGATTTTCTTTTCGCCTTGACCAACACTTGCAAAATGTTTTCCGTTTTCTTATTGGAAAATATAAACTTATAAGATTTTTTTTTGTTTTCGTATAACACTTTCGAACAATTTTGTAGATGCAACCGCGTGTTTTTTTCCTGTTCCGATTGAACTTGCGTTTCAGTATATTATCTCTCTACCGTGTAAATTCACATTTGACGACACCGGTCCGAAATATTGTGTATTTATCGTTGTTGCCGCATTCCAAAATTCTTCTGAAACGTTCTTCATGTAAGGGAGAGGCAGGTCGACTTTCAGCCTAATCGGTTGTGCAAATAATCGAAAAGAGTTCTGCCAAAACGGATTAGAGCGAAATCGATAAATGGTGCCAATATTTAACGCCAAAGACGGGGAATTTTGAAAATATTGAGTCAGACACACCAATGTCCCTCTCAAGTGCTAAAGCAATATTTTAATTTTCTCATGTCATACCCAACAAAGTATATATATTCTTGATCAGCGTAAAATTCTATGTCGATTAAGCGATTTCCGTTTGTCTGTTGCAATCACGCTATCTTCCAAGTGAATTGAGATAGAAGGCTAAAATTTTGCACACATGTTAATTTTGCCAGTAGGCAGTTTAATATAACGGCACCTCCCAATATTCGGTATTTTGGTGATTTTAGGGACATTATTCACCGGAATTGTTTCAAATTCGATATTTGAAGTTCGTAATGGATACTACAGCCTAAGACAGAATATTGTCTGTGCAGGTCCACGTCTTCGTACAGCCCCAAATATAACGGTACCTCCCAATATTCGGTATTTTGATGATTTTAGCATCATTATTCAGCGGAGTAGTATAAAATTACGAATTTAGAGTTCGTAATGGGAACTACTGCCTATGACAAAAAATTGTCTATGTAGGTTCAAGTCTTCGTATATCAGAACCTCCCTATATTCGATGTTTTGACGATTTTAGGTACAATACCCATCGAATGTGAATGCTACAGCCTGTGACAGAAAATTGTCTATGCAGGTCCAGGTCCAGATATAACGGTACTTCCATATAAACAGTATTTTTATCATTTAAGCTACATTATTCACCGTTTATTTCAAGTTTCGAATTTGAATATGGTGGCTTATGACAAACAATGCATATATGGGTCCACGTCGTATAGACCCCAATATAACGACTATATTCGGTATTTTTAAGATTTTAACAGAATTTTTAACGGATTTTTTTTTTGAAAATTTGAAAATTCTTTTCAAATGGTTTAGGGTATTTAAAGTGCTAAAGCACTTGGCCTCTTCCAGAACCTGCAAGGAAAAATCGGTTATCGTAGTGAAAACTTTTGCATTTATGCAGTTCTGGAACAGACCAAATATGTTGAAACTTTTGTTCGATACGGACCCGTTTAAGTACTTGGTATAATTCTTTTTAAATTTCCTCATGTTATTACAGATGGATGTATGTTTTTTCGTAGACAAATTAAAATGTAGACAATGGAATGCTCTCATCGCTTATTACTTACTGGCCAACCTTATGTGGCGTTTCTACTGCACTTGATTCGCTCTCTATTCGTTGTTTGACCCTTAACTATGAAAAAACTACTTAATTCTTCACACAAAATTTCCTGAGCGAACACTCATATTTGTACAATGTCGAAAAAATAAATTATGACATTTAAAAATTGAAAATAAAAAAAAATAATGAAATTTTGATAATTTTTGGGAAGACTGAAAATTATGAATGAAAACTACAATGTTGAATAGCGTATGTACATTCAAACGAAAGTAAATTTTGTTTTCTCTCTCATCCGAGGTACGCATATTGTCCACGAGTTGAAATTTTCACAGGAAACTGGAAACAAAAGAGGCAATATTTTCAAAATGTTTGTATCGGCAAAAAAAATGTTTGACAAGTGTCTCTCCAGCAAAATTAAAAAACAGAAAAATACAAAAAAATGTTAAAAATGTCAACATTTACACAAAAAGTTGAAAACATTAGTATAAATTCCCATTAAAATCAACAAACAAAATTTTTGAAAAAATGAATTATTTTACTATGAATTACGAATCGTGCCGTATGAACGGGTTAATTCGTGTGCCTAATTCTGAGAGCGAACAACGTTGTTCGGTTTTCAATGGAAACATGCTATTATATTGGCCATGAGGAGATCGAATAATTAATTTGACAACTCATGACAAAAATCGATTTATCGATTGCTAAAAATTGTTGATAATAAAAGTCGATACAACAAAAGTCGACATACGTATTCCTAGTTAAACCACCGGCCAAGGTAGATCTAACAGGTAACCCCATCGGCGAATTGCTACAACAAAGCAACTTTTGTGGTCCCCTCAAATGTCAAAATTGGCATCTAAGGCGAAAAACATAGATTCGCCATGACATTTAAAGTTTGCGGCAAATTTATTTCAACCAATCAGAAACGAGGTGTTTGTTTACATTTTATTTTGTGTCCCTCTCGTCGTAAACGAACGTCGCAATAAAAGTTTTTATTGTAAAACAAATAAGAGTATAATAAGTATTAATTGTAGTATTGCGATATTTTTTAAACAAAGAAACTTATAATGACTATATTTTACTGGTTTAAACCGAAAGTTTTCCGGAACTGCAAATGACAAGAGTCTAATTCTTGCACTACTTCCCGTGATGTGCTTTGGGAATCTTAGATATTGAGGCTAACTTAATTCTTAAAGCTGCACTCCATTCTAACCTCCTTCCTTCATGTTCTTTTAATTTTTTACTGGTTTCACTCTTAACTTACTCTTAAATTATTTGAAATATTATAAAAAGGTACTTTTAGGGAAGACAACATAAACAAATTTGTTGTTGCATTCATTTAGGGCGAATTCTTCATTACAACAATTTGTTTTGACATTTAATGGTGCCGTCAGCTGGGCTGATGCGATTACCTAGTACATCTACCTTGCCACCGGCCTTTCTCTAGACAACATTGCCAAACACTAACATCAAAACAATGCCGAAAATTGTGGAATTACGACAAGATCGTGCATTAATACGATCCAACTTTGATGGCTATAAATTGTCATTGGAGCCTGTGCCATTGATACGTCAGGAACTCAGTGCGGGTCCCTTGAAAGCTACACCCAATGATGACCAGTATTCCCTTCTTCATGTGGAGTTATTTTCTATGCAAAATTTATTGGTTGTAGATCCTTGGTCACGGAATGACTCGTATTTTATCAATAATTTGGGTGAAATACTTCGGTGTTCCTACGACGAGAACAGGGGCAGGCCGAACCCATTGCAAGTGGTATATCGATTGGTTGAAAGAAATTCTGTTTGTGATGACGATCAACCTGCTCGTCCCATATGGAAACCGAAAGGTGAATACAATTACACATTCCGTTTCATTTCGGAAAAATATTGTGTGCTTTGTGATGGTTTAAAGACTTTGCATATTCTGGAAACTGGGGATCGCTTTAAGACACAAGAATGGCAAAAAGTGGCTTCCACAGCTATTTCCGGGGATAATATAGATCCGGCGGAGTCCAACTATGTGATATATGATGCCCGATTGGACATTATACAGGAACAAAAACAAATATCCCTTGCTCTTGGTCACGTTCAGAAGGTTGATTCCCAAACACTCGAAGGCGGTTCCACACACTTTATGTATTTGCACTGGGCCAAGTTGTATCTTAAAGAACAGCAATGGCAGTTTGAAGTGTTGGATACGTTAGAGGGCAAGGGTTCCCTTTATTATTGTGCCTTTGAACCACGCAGTGAATCTTTAGTAATAAGCTCAAATCGTGAATTCATTTGGCGTTCCAAGAAATCAAATGACGAGCCTGTGCCAGAAGAAAATGTCGATGATTGTAAACCACAACTTCATGACAAACCAGAAAATGAAATTTCTGGGTTTTCCTGGTCACAAACCGATGAAGATATTGTGGTGAAATTCAATGAAATCCCCGATGCTGAGAGAACCGACTACAACATAAAATGTGTGTCAAACAAAATTACGGTCAAATATAAGGAGACCATTTTATTAGACTGTGAATTGAAAGAGAAAATTGATCATGATTTAACAACATGGACCATGGTAAGTAGATTTTGTTGAAAATTGTAACCAGGGCCTTAGTTTTTTTCTTCTCCAGGAAAACAATTTCCTACAAATTACTCTGGTAAAACAGGACTCCGGCTTATATTGGCCATCATTGTTGGCTAATGATTTGGGTCCAAAGGAAAACACCGATGGAAAGCAACAAAACTGCCTGCCAATGGAGCAGCAACCTATTGCAAATTTGGAAACACCCATTGAAGATTGTGATTTTCCCATGGGCATGGCTGAGGAAGAGATTACGATATGTATGTAATGCAAATTATCTTGAAATAACAAGTAACAATATTTTTCTATTGACCTCTTCCAGCTCGTTATAATTTAGTTAGCAAAAGCATAACACATTCCGTCATTATGAGTTCAAGTCCACCATTGTTTACAACTTCTTTGCGACCCGGATTTCCCATGGCCATTGCCACCCGACAAGATGTTGATTGTTCGTTGTGGTTGCAACAATTCAATCCCTCCAAACCAGACGAATGGTCCTTAAGACACGAGGGAAACCTGCATGCATTTGCCTATGTACAGGCCTCAAAGCAGCAAAAGAAATTCATGGATTGTTCACCAGATTTGGGTTATGCCATAATTTCGGAATCTCACCGACATGTTTTTCTGTACAAATCAAAATACGACACTGCCAGTGGGTTGAGGAATCGAAATGGGCCACAGGTTAGTATTGGCAAACAGCATTTAATAACTTTAGAGGATGCCGGAGAAGTCTTGGGATTGACAACATCAAATGCAGTGGCTACGCTCTTGACGGAAAAATGTGTATTATTTGTTCAAATTGATAGTTAATAAAGATGTAAAAACTAGTAACACGAATAAACTCGAGTACGATTGAACTTTTAAGCCCTTAGATCGCCAGGTCTAGAAAATGTTGTTAAGCGTTACTGCATCGCTTGTAATATCTTGGAAGCGATATAAGGAGCACGGCAGAATTGTTTTCTATACGGTCGAATGTAGAGTACCCGATCTTATTCGTTTTTAAAACACGAACATCTGTGTGGTCGTATTTACATCATAATGGTATTGGGTTTATCTGGCTATGAAAAATTTATAAATTTGTGAAAAGAGAGCTGTTTAAGATTCTTCAACTGATAGTTTGCAAATTATTGCCGGATAAATTGATAGCAACTCTTCTTCCTTTTTGAGTATCCCTTGATTTGCTTCTGTGCAACAGATTGGAAAATATTTTTGTTTAGGAGAAAAAAAGTTTGCTAAATTGGAAATTATTCCATTTTGTGCGATTCGTTTTGTTTAATCCCATAATTCTGCTTGTTTTTAGCTGATTACTTGCAACTTTTTCAGGAATTTCATCTGTTTACTTACTTTTTTACTCTTTCAAAAAGAAGTTCCCAGACAATTCCTGCAGAAAAAGTAACCAGACAGACCTAATGGTAATGGGCCTGTAGGGTTACCTACCCGCAGGGTGAGTTTAAAAAAAAATGCAGCAAAGCTATTTTTTAGTGCCAACCTTGCATTCCAAAAATTCTCCAGACACAATAGTCCAACGGATTGGTATCCGGAGATTTTGGTGGCCATCGTGCGCTGAAAATGAAGTGAGGAACATCATTTTGTAACAATTTCTGGGTCATGTTGGAATGTCCAAGGTCTCGCGACCAAAATGTTTGCCTGCCAAAGCTTTAATACACCCTCCAGAATATTTCCGCGATAATATTCGGCATTTATTCTGATTCCACGGTAGATTAATACGAGCGGAGAGCGACCATCGGCTGTTATGGCAGCCCACACCATCACCACGGCCGGCGCTTGAGTTCTGGTGGCCAACCGAAGCAGCACATTTTTAGCTGACCTCTTTGGATGTAAACACCATCATTTTGTTTATTTAAAAACTGCTGGACAACGAATGTTTTCTCATCGAAGAAAACCAAATTCGTCAAGCGAGCCCATTTTTCAATATTTGCCGAATGAAATATTGCGATATGTTCAGCTTACAAGCCACTGCGACGCAGGTTTCGATCAAGTCGCTTCTTTACTTTTCTTCCGTCCACTTCCTTGACGTGGGGCTACGCTACAAGTATCACGGAAACGAGCGATGGTATGAGACGCAAAAGATTTATTCAAATTTAAATGCTGGAGTGCTTTAACGATAGTCACTTGTGGTTTTCCAGCCAAATATAAAGAAATCACACTATCACGCTTGAATTCTATCACAAATAACTTTTTTTCTGTGAGAATTTTCCATAATTTTAACAGCTGTCGGGCGAGTGGCTTAGGAATGACAGCAGAAATGACAGTTGGTTGTAGTTTTTTCATCTCACCCTGTATATATAAAATGTCAACATATATATATAAAAAGTTCAAAACATGGAAGAAAATTTTTAAATGAAAGATAAAATAAATCTTTGGAAAAGAAACAATAATTTCTTATATTATTATTAATGCTAATTTCGTGGCATTACTCTCTCAGAAAGAAGTTGCCGGACGATTCCTGCAAGAAAAGAAACCAGACAGACCTAACACATTGCCAGTCAGTATGTATATCCGAAATTTTGTAACATTTCTAGCAAATTCTTATTCGAAGTCGTCTGTTACCACAAACATTTGGCAAAAAGAGCGACTGGAGGAGGAATTTTGACAGTTCTTTTTATTTTGTCAAATCAGCTGATTGCTTGTTGGTTTTGGAATTTTAGCAGTTCTTTTGACAAATCATTGCTTACTGTTTTAAGAGCGATGCAAGTTGTCTCTTTATTTTTTACGGTTCTCTTACAAAAGAGAAAAACACTATCTTGCACTCTGAGAAAAATGTTGCAAGATAATTTTTGCAGGAAAAGTAAACAGACAGACCTATTTAGGCGATACACTCCGTTTGACGTTTCGGAATGCAATACAACAACACAATTAAGTCAATTTAACTTTTTACAAATTTGTTTGCGAATTAGAAAAATGTAAAATAACTTTACATTTTATATAAAATAAATGTTTTCAAATGTGGCAGTGTATATGATTATAACATTTAGTCCTGGAATGCAAAAGAAGAGAAAGCAAATAAGCGGATGTTGTTTTTGAACTAATTAAATCGTGAAGAGGTGGAACAAGGTAACAATAGAAATTTGTGATTGATTTCAGAGGCTTGGAAGATACATTTAATACGCTATTGTATCATTTATACAAGATTCGCTTCATAGTCTATTATTGGACTCAGTACTCAGATGTGATGTGACTAATGGATTCTTGGTAAAACTAAAATTACCTTTATTGATTCATACCAATAGACCGACCTGTTTCCATATTACTCACTTTCGTGCAAATTAAAAACTAATTCCAAGAGGGCATCAAATTTAATACTACATTGTGTGTTACATTAGTTATGTGATTTAAAAAAAAAATAATGTTTTTCACATTGTTTATCTTTTCTCTCTTCAGATTGATATCTTGTTGATTGATTTGCCAAGTTTACATAAACCTATGTAAACAATATAAAAATAATAAGAATGTCTGCGGGGAAAGAAGAAAAGACTGAAACTGTACAGAAAGTATGGAAGCCAGAGCTGTACAAAATCCAATTGGAGGCACCCACACCTAAACCTTTGTACACCAATAAATTTCTAACCAATCACTTCGAGAATGAAGAAAAAATTCCCAATTTCTACGGTAGTGAATATCATGGATGCATGAGTCACAAAGAAGCTGAAGAATTGCTGAACAATAAAGTGGATGGCTCATTTCTTGTTCGCAAAAGTCCTGGTGCTGCGGACTATTATACGCTAAGCGTGCGATTCAATAAGAAAACGAAGCATTTTAAAATTTACTTTAAAAGTGGCCAGGGCCATTATCTGCAGGAGCAATCCAAACATTTTGATAATATTCATGATCTAGTTGCCGATGGCCTGGTAAATTTTTATATGCAGCTACATGCCGGACCCATTATCCAGGAGATCAATCAACAAACCGGCAATTGTTATCAGCAAAGTCCTTATATGACTCTAAACAGACGTAAATTACGGGCCCTATCAAATGATTTACGCAAGTCACTTGTCAATAAAACCAATGACAATAAAAACAATTTAAATGATGACAACAACGAACCCATGGTGGAGTCAAATAAAACCACATCAATTGTGGATGGTTGCACTGAAAGTACGACTAAAACATCGGATTATGGTGATACCTTATTGCCGTTTGTTTACGAAAAGGCACATGCATTTAAGGTGCACACATTCAAAGGACTCAATTGGTGTGATATATGTGCCAACTTTTTATGGGGTTTCACGGCCCAGGGTGTACGCTGTGAAGACTGCGGCATAATTGCTCACAATAAATGTTCAGAACTGGTGCCGGCAAAGTGTTTACCCGATTTGAAGAATATTCGTGGGGTTTTTGGCACAGATTTAACGACAGTTGCCCAATTGTATCAGTGTTCAATACCCTTTGTAGTGCGACGATGTGTTGAGGAAGTCGAAGCTCGTGGTATGCTACAAGAGGGAATCTATCGTGTGTCAGGATTTGCCGATGAAATCGATGCCCTGAAATTGGCCCTAGATACCGAAGGCGAAAGAACAGATATGTCGGAATCAGCTTACAGTAATATAAATGTCATTGCTGGTACACTAAAATTATATTTACGTTTGCTGCCCGTGCCGCTGATAACATATCAGGCCTATCCCAGTTTTATGGAGTCATCAAGTATGTTGTTTAAGAGTAATTTTCGAAGATATTTCTTGGTACCAGGGGAAATATATATTGGATGTATTTTATTAAATATTTGCAGGAATTAACAACCAGGATGATCAAATTAAGCATATGAGCGAAGCCGTAAAAAGACTCCCAATGGCCCACTATGCATGTCTAAAATTTATGATGGAACATTTAAAAAGGTATATATATTTAAAGATCCCTGATGAAAATAAACTAGTTAAAAAAACAGTAAGTTCGGCCGGGCCGAACTTTGAATACCCTCAACCATTTGGAACGAATTTGTCAATACTCCAAACAATAAAATCCGTTAAAAATGCAGTTAAAATCGTAAAAAATACCGAATGTAGCTGTTATATTGGGGTCTATACGACATAGGTAACTTTTGTCATAAGCCATTACAATATTCAAATGCGAAACTTAAAAAAATCGAAGAATAATGTAGTTAAAATCATCAAAATACCGAATATTTGGATGTACCGTTATATGGGGGCTATAAGAAGACGTGGACCTGCACAGACATTTTTCTGTCATAGGCTGTAGCATCCATTACGAACTTAAAATACCAAATTTGAAACAATTCCAGTGAATAATGTCGGTAAAATCATCAAAATACCGAATATCGGGAGGTACTATTATATAGGGGACTATACGAAGACGTGAACTTGCACAGACAATTTTCTCTCTTAGGCTGTAGTATTCATTACGAACTTAAAATACCAAATTTGAAACAATTCCGGTAAATAATGTCGCTAAAATCATCAAAATACCGAATATCGGGAGGTACCGTTATATGGGTGCTATACGAAGACGTGGACCTACATGGCCTATTTTCAATACCAAAAGTCCTACAGACAGAATATACATTTGAGTAAAATTCTATCAATCTACGGACAGAGGGACGGACATCACTAAATCGAAATAGAATTTTATGCTGATCAAAAATATATATACTTTGTGGGGTCTAAAATGTATATTTCCAGGTGTTACAAACGGAATGAAAAACTTAATATACCCTCCATACCGTGGTGGAGGGTATAAAAATGGCAAGATGAGAATTCGAACTAGGATGTTTGTTTATCGCAGTTTAAAAAATGTGCAATATAACCATTCCGATTGCAATTTGATATATATTTTTGGCTATAGCTGCTCTATCTAAACATTGGAAAATTACAGTGAACTCGATTGGATTAAATGAATTTTAAAGGAATCATTTTCATGTGAATTCAATTTGTCATTCAAATTCTATACTTAAATATTATAAAAAAATACTAAAAATGATAATCATTTCTTTACAGGGTTGCTTCTCACTATGCTGTCAATAAAATGAATGAACACAATTTGGCAACAGTATTTGCACCCACATTGATTGCCACACCTCAACATCTAACGAATTTAACAGAAGAAATATTCATGCTGTCATCTCTAATCACACATTGCGCCCTTATTTTTAATTAATTCTCGACAATACTTTAATTTTATATAAAAATGTCAGAATATATTCAGCCTATTAGTATATTTAAACCTAGCACCAAAGTATTTATAACAAAAGAATAATTTTCTCCATTGAAAAACTCTCCATATACACCGGATTTACCCCCCACCCACATCTACACACATGACCCACTCATATTTACTCATAGAGCATTTATTTATGAATAGCATGTAGATTGATTTTGTACTTTTATATATATTTATATGTACAACAAATAAATACAATGTCTATTTACAAGTATTACTGTTGAAAAATTTTTCTTTGGGCTTTAAATATTTCAGGAATGTGAGATAGCCACGTCAAGACTGAAATAATTTCAAGTAAACGGGCATGTAGCTTCATGGCAAATCCGTTGAAAATTCCTTATTAAAAATTTAAAAAATTATTACGGCAAGTGCAATATAAACGTCTTATATACAAAATATTTATTTCATTAATTTTTCTTGTCTACAAAATCAAAGCAGAACACAATATCAATTGAATACACCACCATCATCTTCATCATTATCACCCATATTGTGCAAGGAACAACAGAAATTAAAAATTTAAGCTGATAACATATGAAATATTACATCTGAGACGCCTCAAAAGTCTTAATGTCTTACAGTAGATAGTTGTGTTGGAAGTGTAAAAAAATTAAAAAAAAAAAAATAGAATACTTATTTATTTAAATACAATTTGTTATTCAAACTGTGATATATGTATATGTGTTATATAAAGGCAATATTCATGAGCATTACATGCAAACGTAAATGCCTGTTAGTAGCTGTTGTGATTTGTTCTATTTTTTTTTTCATTTGGATATTTTATAGGAAATATGGTGTTGTGTTGTGAGGTGGTATAACACGATCTGTTTCGGGGACGGCAACAAATATTTTCGTTGTGCGATCCTTTGCTGTCTGGAAATTTAGCATTGCAGCAACATTACCACAACGATAGCAATAATTTGGTGCAGACCAAACGGTTACTAATTTACTATCGAACATATATTTTATGCCCTCGTTTACCAGTTGATGTGCACGGCAAATCAATTCCAAGTTGTTAATTTGCATAAAATCTTTGGTAACTAATTGTCCGAAAAGCCAACCGGCTCCTCGTGGACTCTGACCCCTAAAAAAGAACAAACATTTACATTATATTCTATGATATTTACATTACTTATATTTTTCATACCAGTAATCCATTTCTTCGGGATCGGACCAAACTAAATCACAGAATGCTCCCTTATAAGGGATCTCACCATTCCGATCAATGGTCCGGATTTGATCTAAAGTAATAATCTCAGGACTCAAGCCACCATGTACGCACAGAACTTCTTCGTCAATAATCTGTGGGGAAAAATTAACGCAATTAAATAAGAGTAAAGGTTGTCTTATTCAACCATTCAATAATTTACAAATATTGCCCAAGAACTATTAGAATTCTATCCTACCAACTAGGCAACAAGTAAATACAGGGTGAGATAAAAAAACTGCAACAAAGTCAAACGCCATGGTTTTTACATTTTTTTAATTTAATTGAATGCGAGCAAAAAAGTCGGAAATAGCATCAAATTTTAGAATAAGTTTAGATTTGTTCGAATTGGCCACCTTTGGCATTAATTATGGCCTTCAAACGGCCAATGAAACCGTCACACGCTGCCCAAATGTTGCTCTGCGGTATTTTGGCCCATTCCTCGCGAAGGTGATCGACACTTGGGTATTTTTTAATGCCAACCTTGCTTTTAAAAAAAACTCCGGGCACATTACTCCAACGGATTGGTAGCCGGAGTTTTTGGTGGCCATTGTGCGCTGGAAATGAAGCGAGAAACCTCATTTTGTAAACATTCTTGGGTGGCGCGTGCTAAGTGAGATGGTGTGGGTCCTGTTGGAATGTCCAAGGTCTGCGGCCAAAATGTTTGCAGGTCCACGGCTTTAATACCCCCTCCAGAATATTTTCGCGATAATATTCGACGTTTATTCTGCTGCCACGGTCGATTAATACTAGCGGAGAGCGACCATCGGCTGTTATGGCGGAACACACCATCACATTGGTCGGCGCATGAGTTCTGGTGGCCAACCGAAGGTGAACATATTCAGCTGACTCCTTTGACATATTCAGCTGACTTCGTTTTGTTTGTTTACAAACTGCTGGACAACGAATGTTTTTCATCGGAGAAAACCAAATTCAATGGCTTTACTCCGAGTTCATTTTTCAATATTTGCCGAATGGAGTATTGCGATATTTTCAACTCACGATCCGTTTTTCGGCCACTGCGAAGCGGGTTTCGTCAAGTCGCTTTTTTACTTTTCGAACCATTTTTGCTGATGTTGCTGTTTTCTTCCGTCCACTACCTTGACGTCCGCCTACGATACCAGTATCACGGTAACGAGCGATGGTATGAGACACAAAAGATTTATTCACATTTAAATGCTGGAGTGCTCTAACGATGGCCACTTGTGGTTTTCCAGCCAAATATAACGATATCACGCTTGACCACTGGAATAATTTTAAAAGTGGCTTTGACGAGTGGCTTTGAAATGACACCAGTCTGGAGATGGTTGCAATTTTCTCATCTCACCCTGTCTAACACCACATGAAGCATAAAACACACATTCATCCGGAAAACAGAAAGAAAGTCCTACATTACGTTTAGTAGAATGAAACTTTACACTGATTATAATGCTTACGGCTGACGTCAAAAAGCACAAAAATAAAATTAATTTTTTTTAATCTCTAAATATTTACTTTATATCGAATGTTCACTTTTCTGAACATTAAAATGTTGATAAGTGGCTAAAAACTTATAAGGTGTATTAAACCAATTCTCCTTCAATGGCGTAGTTATTTCCCACCCATATGAAAGCTTTCAAATATGGCTCGTTACAATATAGTAGCAATAGAGTCAACAGTCCTAGATGTCGCGTCTTCGGATGTTAACAGTTCATAAAATAGTTTCCGTTTAAATGCATTCTAGAATGTCTTTCGTGACTTGGCAAAAATATTTAATAGATCTCTATTACTCATTCTTTCTATCTGCAATATTATCTAAAAACTTCGATACCCGGATAAACATAATGTCAACCCCAGATGTATAAATATCAAAAATATTTACTCACAGCAGCTATTGCCAGTAAATCGAACACTTTGCAACAATATTTCCAAGCATTTGCATTGCCATACTTGCTGAAACATTCATCATAGAAACCATATACTTTTGTTATCTGGCGAGATTCATGGTTTCCTCGAAGTAGTGTTATGCGATCAGGATAACGGGCCTGCAAATATATAAAATGTATGCCATTTTATAGAGCAAATTCCATATTTTGTTTAAACATACCTTCAGCGTTAGCAGACGTGTCAGTGTTTCAAGACTATAATATCCTCGATCAACAAAATCTCCCATAAATATGTAGCTTGTGTTCGGTACAGCGCCGCCAATTGAGAATAATTCTTCCAAATCATAGAACTGCAAGTAAAATATTACAAATGAATACGCCCATATTACTAATTTAATCTTTACCAGCATACCTGACCGTGAATATCTCCACATACTGTCACTGGTGTACTGACAGGTTGTATATTTGATTCTTCCAAGAGTATTTCACACACAATATCACAAAGCTTCTTTAAATCATTTTCCGGTAAGTACCGACAATCTTTTACTATTTCAATCCATCTGTCTAAATCGGTCATGATCCTGTTTGTTCCTTCCTTTTATTGTCGTTTATTAGCAAAATATCGCAAAAAAAATGCGTTCTCAATCACCTACTGCTGCTTCTTCTTATTCATGAGCAAGTAAATACACATTGATTACACATTACAAATAGGGTTTACAGGGCATGTTTAGTAAACGCGTAAACGGGATATTTTGGTGCAATTTTTTCAATTAAAACACTGGGGCTATAGTGCTTGGTATTATTATAAATGAACTGAGGTAACTTCTTTCGAGCTGTGCACCACGACAAACATAACAAATTTAGTTCACAAATTTATAAATACCACTACTAACATACTATTTTGATTAGCAAATCACGATTTGCTAGCCATTGAAATAGTAGCGTAATATCCAACTACTAACGTAAATGTATTCACTAATTTCTAAAATATATTCCATCTGGTCCTTGCAAAACTGTGGGTTGTTTACATTCTATGCTATCAATTCAATGTGAGTTGCAAAGCCTAAAAAGTGTTTATAGTGAAAAATTTATGTGTGTTGAAACATCAAATACTTTATTTTATTTAAAATATATTTAAAAGATTAAAAATTAATTTAACTTTATAATCATGAATTGTGAACTATGCTTGTGTCCTATACGAAGGACCAAATCATACAGCATATATGAAGAGTTTTTCGACGACAAAAATCGTTTAGTCGATGTAATTGAAAAATATTTACAAATGGAGGTGAGAGATATTGGTGGTTGATTGCTATATATTGATGATATTAATAGGATATGTGTTTGACATGATACTCATTGACCGTTTTTGTTGTTTTAAAGATAAGAGTAACTGGATACCAATCGGCTTTGCTATGCCAATCATGTTATACACATTTGGATGATTTCCACAAGTTTGCCTTGTTGATAAAGGAGAGGCAGGAATCATTGACAAATGTCAATATACCCGTAATAAAATTGGAAAGTTCCGATGAGGAAGAAGAAAATGAACAATCATATAATGGATATATACGAGACTCAGATGTTGTTGTGGAATTCCAAGCAGAGGGAGATGATCAAAGAAATGGTAGTAAAACTACCATGCAATTTGGCGACGATGAACTTTTAATTCCTAGCAGTGATTTTCAAAATAATTCCAACTACTCAGCATTTGAGCAAATGTCATGGCTATCAGGTGAAGATTCTAGGTGAGGATGAAGTTCTCCGTAATATCTTACAAAAAAAAAAAAAAATATTCCTCTTTTGACGTATTATTTTCCTTTCCAGATCGAGGACTTCTTCCAAGGCACCAGTACGCAAAACCCCCTACAAAACCCACAATCCAGAAGATCGTTCTCGTATAGTTGAAGCCGCAAATCGTGGAGATGATTGGTCAGCATTAGCTTCTAGGCTGGGTGTTAAATATAAAACTGCCTACACCTGGGTTTCAACCAGTCGCAAAGAGATGTTTCTCAAAAGTGGAAAAATGTCCTTTAACGAAGACGAAATAAAAACAATAATCCTTTGGATAGAAGAAAATCGTCGATTAACACTAAAGGAAATTGTTGCTAAAATCAAAACCCATTTTAATAAGGATGTTTGTGTCTATTTCGTTGAGTGTACTCTGGAAGGGCGACTTTATCATTATCAGCGATCTCAAGACTATCATCCGCATCTGGTGAACACCCTTGAAAATAAAACAAAACGTTCGGAATTTGTAAAAACTTTGGAGTATTATATGGATCAGAATAAGACCATAATTTGGTTGGGTGAAACAATTTTCAAAATGTTTTGTCGTCGAGCCAAAGGAAGGTTTAATACCAATTCTGCATTTTTTGCAACATGTGATCCCACATTGTATATGATGGGTGCTATAACACAAGATGGTGTAATCGGTCTTAAACGTAGTCGTGAACGTTTGCGACCTGAAGAAATTTTCAAAGATTGGATACAGTCTAGCAAATGTGATGTTACAAAATTAGTTATTGTATGCGATAATGATTATTGTTTCTCCGAACTAGATGAATACTTTAATAATTCCGACGTAACATTACTATTATTAAGTCCTTACTCTTACATGCTAAATCCATTGGAATTCATTTGGAATAGCATAAAAGTAAATGTTAAAAGTCAATCTCATATTTCCCTTTTTAACCCGAACGATGTTAGAGAACAGCGTTTAATATTCGCTGAGAAATGTATCGATGACCTATTGCCTTTAATTACAAAAGATGATTGTATCAAGGCTATAGAGAATGTTAAGAAATGTCATAACGATATACTGGACATGCAGGATATGTCAGTTTAATAGGTATATTGGTGATAAGAAGCATGCTTACACCTTTTTATTTGAGATATATGTATTAATGCAAAATATAGTATATAGAAAGATATATTTTTATGTTAAAAATATATAATTTATTGAGCGTATGCATATTTATGTTTTTAAACCTTAATTTTATTATAACATATTAATTTTAGCCATTCATAGAGAACTATATAAAATAAAAAAATACAATGTTAGTACAAATTATTTATTTAAATTTGAGATTTCTTTTTCAATTTAACAATAGTTTTTGGTGGAGAAGTTCATTAACCTGTGACAAACGACAGTCTCATTACAGAAATTGATTCAGAGATATATCTGATATTCATGCAAATAATCTATTACAGTTATGTATTTGTCATTAAAGAATAGTCCTGAGAAACAAAGTATAACCACAGATATTCTTTAAAAGACGATTCCTTAAATGGTTCCTTAAAATTCGTCTCGTCCTCGGTCTACTATTTGTGAAATCTTTATTTGATTGGACTTGTAAGAAGTTACTGTATAAATTCTACTGGGAAACGAACACTGGTAAAGATAACACAGTGTGTTATGTACTGTAAAGTGACAACAAATGAACTCTGCATTTTCTAAAACCACAAGAGTACACTACATACTACATACATTCAGGAAAGAACTTGAGTAGACTTTCCCATGGATTTATAAATAAGTAAACGAAGCCCATTGTAGGAGAGAAATAAATACTTTTTAAAAAGAAAATATTTGTTATTGACGAAAATAGTGCACAGTCTTTCGTTTTTACAAAATAGTACAAATTTCGGTTTCAAATGGCAAGTCGATAAATCGATTTCGAAAATCGACTTCATAAATTTATCAATGCAAAAACAGCTGTCATGGTCATCATTCGACTTTTTGTTTGGCTTATCAAAAATGCGATTGGTTCATTAGACGAAAGTCGAAATATACGTACCAATGATTCTCGATCGACGAATTTTCAATTTATTTTGTAAATACACGAGAGACGAGTTGTAAATAAAAGAATACATCATGGTTTGCCGTTTATGTTTGTCAGAGCCATCAAAAGAATCAACTGTAAATCTTTATAAAACTACAGATGATAATATTGTTACTGACATTGAAGTTCTCAATTTAATAGAGAAGTATTTGGAAATAGAGGTATGTTTGCTTGATCTCATGTACAACTGCAAGTGGAATATGAATATTAAAATATATAGTATTGATATTTTACAAGATTTTTTAAGAAATGAACACGCAGGCGCTTTATTTCATTAATCGGATAACAATATAAAATGTTCATAACCTATCATCAGACCTTCCAGACACATATTTTTAAAATAATTGGACCAAATGATTTTAAATTTGCCGGTCTTTGCCCGGGTCTTGAGATTTTCTCCTCTGGGGTATGTCCAACACTGGGCTTGAAATTTCCTCCTCTGGGTTATGTCCAACGCCGGCTTCGCGGGACAATAGTTTTTAAAGTAGACGGCCTTCGGCCGGGTGTTGAGATTTTCTCCTCTGGGTTATGTCGCACACCGGCTTTGCTGACCGAAAGATTTTAAAGTAGACGGCCTTTGGCCAGGGCTTGAGATTTTCTCCTCTGGGTTATGTCCAACACCGGCTTTGCAAACCAAAATTTTTTAAAGTAGCCAACCTTCGGCTACTTTCTGTTACTTTGTTGGTAACAATTTTGCCATTTTTCGGAAGTTTTAATATTCATAACATAGCACTTATGTTTTTTCATACACTAAGGTACCACAAGACGATGTTGTATCGACAATAATATGTACTGACTGCCATAACCACTTGATGGACTTCCACCTGTTTCGTCAGAATGTTCAAGAAAAGCAGAAAACATTGGATGTTGGCCGGAAACAGTTAGAAATAAATGAAGATCAACAAGTAGAATATAGTTTATTTCGAATTCTTGACGATGTCGCAGATACAGACAGAGGAAAAACAAATAAAATTTGGAATAATGAAGAGGAAGAGGATGGAGATTTTCTCATGGATATAATTAAAGACGAAGTTAATGAGGGCAATGAAGATACAATGGATTCATATCTGAAATGTGACGATGATAAGGATGAAAGTCGGGTTGAAAACGAACATAACGACTCCCTGAACGTGGCCAGTCATCATTCAACAGGTAAGTTCAAAAACTTTTTTGAATATTCTTCTAAAGATCAGTTGAAGACATAGCAGTATAGAAATTCAAAAGAAGTAGTGAAATAAAAATAAAAATATATCGCCATTATCAGCTCCATAAAATACCAACTACAAAAATAATGTGTAATTAATCCATATATTTTTTTTGTTTTAGAAATCGTTACCGGTAAAGCTGAAAAACTTAAGATGTTTACAAGCCGAACACAATTTGAAAGGTTAGTCAAAGAGCTAAAGAAAAATCCAGCACTTGATAATTATCGCAATGTCACGGACTCCGGCAATTTTAAAGATCGTTGGGAGGAACTTGCCATCGTTTTAAATAATCTGGGAACAGCAAAACGACTTGGTGATGGTTGGATCAAGGTAAAAAAAAAACAATCAAATATATTTTAAAGAAAAAATTATACAAACCTATTCTAAATTTATTCATAGGTTTGGCGGGATATGAAATTCAAGACAAAGAAAAAAGTATGTGCCATCAAAGCAGCCCGCGAAACTAAAGGGGTGCAGGTAAAAAAACTTACTGCTTTGGAACAAGAAGTAGCAGAGATGTTCAATTGGCTGTCAAAGAAACCAAATTCCAGCAAAAAATCTTCTTTATTTTGTCGAACGAATCTTCCCTCAAGGCGAGGGGTTTCTGCAAAGCCAACGAGTACACAATCAAATCAAACTGAAATAGCGGATGACCTCTCAGAAGAAGAGCCATTAACTAAGGAAAAAGACGAAAGGCCTATTGGCAATACAAAAGAACCGCATTCAAGTACTGCTCACATCAACGCCCCAGAAGATAACAATTTAAAATGTACCAAAGAAAAAATTGTCTTTAGACTAATGAAAGCTTTAGAAAGCAAAAAATCATTTAATTCGACAAAGCACAGCCAAGAAAGTAGTACTAAAGAGGAGACCAAACCAGCATCATGCAATTGCGGAAAAGCAGATGTGATATGGGAAATTTTCGAACTATTAAGTTCAGTGAAACGCAGCCTTTTGGAATTCAACAACTATCACAAGCAGCTATTGGAAATCGAAGAAAGAAAACTAACCTTATTACAGACAAAAAATGAAAGAGAAGAAGATATGCACAAAAGTGATGTCAAACTTAAAAATCTAGAAATTCTTATTAAAGAAAAACAATATCATGATTTATGTAAAACATAGAAATATAACATACTTTATCTGTAAATATTTTTCTCTACTTGACTAAATAAGCCACTCGTTCTAAGCCACTCGTTCGACAGCTGTTATAATTATTCCAGTGACAACTCATTATATTGTTTACAAGCGTACAAAAGCATCAGAAAAAAAGTTATTCGTGATAGAATTCAAGCGTGATAGTGTGATTTCTTTATATTTGGCTGGAAAAACACAAGTGGCACTCAAGCATTTAAATGTGAATAAGTCTTTTGTGTCTCGTACAATCGCTCGTTACCGTGATACTGGTAGCGAAGCCCGACGTCAAGGAAGTGGACGAAAAAAAAAAACAAAAACATCAACAGAAATGGTTTAAAAAGTTAAGAAGCGACTTGATCGAAACCCAGCGACCGAAAATGGCTCGTGAGCTGAACATAACGCAATATTCCATTCGGCAAATATGGAAAAATGAGCTCGGGGTAAAGCCATTGAAATTCCAAAAAGTGCAAGAACCGTGGCATCATAATTATATTATCGCGAAAATATTCTGGAGGGTGTATTAAAGCCTAGGGCACGCAGACCTTGGACATTCCAACAAGACCAGCACGCGCCACCCAAGAATGTTTAGAAAATGAGGTTCCTCGCTTCATTTCCAGCGCACAATGGCCACCAAAAACTCCGGATTCCAATCCGTTGGACTATTGTGTCTGGAGTTTTTTTGAAAGCAAGGTTGGCATTAAAAAATACCAAAGTGTCACCTCAAGCGAGCGCTTCGCCAGGAATGGGCCAAATTCCGCAGAGCAACATTCGGGCAGCGCGTGACTTTTTCATTTGCCGTTTGAAGGCCATAATTCGTGCCAAAAGTGACCAATTCGAACAAATCTAAACTTATTCTAAAAGTTGATGCTTTTTCCGACATTCTTTGCTTTCATTCAATAAAATTTTGAAAAAAAAATTACAGATTATAGCGTTTGACTTTGTTGCAGTTTTTTTATAGCTTGCGGGGCTTTGGTCGGGGCATAAAATAAAATTTCCTCCTCTGGGTTATGTTCGCTGACCAAAAGTTTTTAAAGTAACCGGCCTTCGGTCGGGGTTTGAAATATTTTACTCTGAGTTATGTCTAACACCGGCTTCGCGGACCCAAAGTTTTTAAAGTAGACGGCCTTCTTATATATCTGCATCTTCGATCGAATAAATCGAAACAAAAGCGCCACAAGATAATCCAAGATATTAAAAATAACAAAATGCCTGAAACTTTTGAATCTTAAAAGTCATAAGAACATAGCTTAAATCGGTGCTACGAATTTTTAGAAGTATCAATAGCTCCTTCTCCAAGTGTCCGCATATTGGTAGGCCAGCAGTTGTGGCTCCTTAGTTGAATATGGCAAGCCCAGTACCAAATGACACATCATATGCTGTTACCACTGCACAGTGATTGAAAATGTCAGTAAGAAGAAAATATACATATCTTACGACGTTCTGATGAGAAGAATTTTTTAATTTGTGATTATTGCTAAAAAATACAGGGAATTTTTAGTTGAAAATGGTTTGTCGATTATGTCTAAAAGACGTGCCTGATGAATCAGTTATAAAACTATATCATGACATCAATTCTTCGGCAGAATCAATAGAAATGGTGAAGCTGATAGAAAAGTACCTGGAAATTGAGGTTGGTAGAACATTGTAGTTGTTGTAACCAATTATGTTTATTGGTATTAAAATGCGCAATGTTTAATATACAATTGATTTATATTTGATTAGGTTAGAGATGATGATGTATTCTCAACCACTATATGTCAGGATTGTCATGATCATTTAGATGATTTTCATAAGTTTTGTAAGGATGTTGCCGAAAAACAGTCTATACTTCGCAATGAGTTTCTTGAGGTGCAACTTAAAGTGGAGTCTCATTGTGACGATAGCCAAGATCCTCAAATGAAGGAAGATAAGAAGATCTTGGATAGTCAAGTTCAAAATGTCGATGTTTGTGATTCCAAGGAAATTGAGCAGGCCATGTTTGAATGTCCCATTGATTTGCTAAAAAGTGAAGCGGACGATGATGAAAAGGAAGAACAAGAAGTGTTTGAAACGGATGTTCTTGATGATATGGATCTTAACAGGGAAGAAGAAGAAGATGTGTTTGCAGACAGCGTTGATAATGATCCGGTGGACATGAATACATCGGAAGGTGGGAGAAAATTTTTAACGAAATTTAAAAGTGAAATCATTATTTACCATCTATTCAATTGTTTTCAGATGACATGCCTTTGAGTAAACTGAAAGCTAAAAAGAAAAACACCACAGCCAGGCGAAAGCGGACAAGCACCAAACCCAAGGTAGATAAAGAAGTCAAAGAACCAAAGGAACGCAAAAAGAAAGGTGAACGAAAAAAGACTATGTCAGCCCAAGAAATTATAGCTACATCTATTGAATTAAAATGTGATATATGTCAAGTCAAAGTGAATACATGGCGTGAATTGAGACAACACTTTTTGTTGGCCCACACAAGAACACCCTATATAAAATGTTGTGACACTGTATACGAAAAGCAACGACCCCTGGTGGAACATTTGCTATGGCACAAAAATCCAGATTCATTCAAGTATGTTTTTCGTTTGCAAATTAATTGTCATGCGATTTTATTAATGTTGTTTTTTCGAATTATTTCAGATGTAAACTATGCAATGAAGTCTTTTCGAACTCAAGGGACTTAACATCTCACATAAGCAGCCAACATCCGGATAATGTCGATTTATTGGAGACATATGAATGTGAACATTGTTTTAAACATTTCCGCAACTATACGATATTCCAAAATCATTTACGCACCCACAGCAAGGATAAAGACATTGAATGTCAAATATGTAACAAAAGGTAAGCCCGTGTGTAAGTTATAAATATTTGTTATTAACTTTAACAAGGTAACAATCGTGATATCACGAAGGGACCAAATATAGTTATTGGTTTTGATGAAATAAAAAATTACTGATTTGGTATGCGAATTATAGATAGAAAGCCGACTAATTAATAATGTCAAATATACTTTAAACCTTCAATAGAGAAAGGATTTTTTAAAGGTATAGAAATAAATATTTATGTATTTTAAAGTAGAATGTATTTTAAAAAATGTTAATGGATATATGACAACTTACATGTCTTGTACAGTAGGAGATACTGTCTACTGAAATACTATAGAAAAAGTTTTTTTTCATAACAGTTAAACGTCTTCTACGGTTAGAGTAAATTCTTCCAGAGATTTTGGCTTTACGGGGAACTTCTATAGACGAAAAATCCCTAGGTCTTTAATAGATGTCTTGGAAAAAATACAATACCTTCTACAGCTCTTCTCTAGGCAGAAACATTTATGAAGGTCTTAAATGATTTGAAAATCTACATGTTATAATAACATCCTCAAATCTATTTCAGTTAGTTATCCTATGGACATTAAAGCCATTTTATATGCCACACCTATAGTTAGAGGACATCCCTCAAATCTTCTATGGATGGAAGACCTAAAAATTTTCTCCAAAAATTTTCCACAAATAGAAGACTTCTATAAATAGAAAAGGTATTTAAGGATTAGTTGGAAGTGGCCTTTCAAAAGTTTTAATAACTTTTCAAATTCTATAGATAAAATAAAACCCTTGCTGGCCCATAGATAGAATACCTTTTACTGGTGTTTCTTAGATTAAGACCTTCTGTTGCTCTATGTGTCTCGGGAATATATACAGTTTTCTGAGTTTCAAAAGGTTGAAATGTTTATATTGGCTATAATTGGATAAAGCAATACAGGACTATGGCATTTCTACTTTAGTCTGGATTTTTAAAGGAATTATAGAACAATATATATAATTATAGTTTTGAAGTAGCACTTCTAATTTGCCATGTTCGTAAATGTACGATAACCATGTATGTTTCTATCACAGTTTTTATATACTATGTCATCTTCTTTTATATGTATATATGTATGCAAGTTAAATATGAAGAAGAAATTAAAATTAAATCTCATGTGTATCACCACCACAGATTAGAAACCGAATACCAATTACGACGTCATATTGATTCCTTTCACAAAGACATGTCTATGCATATTTGTGACATTTGTGGTAAAAAATTCAAATGTAAAGATTCCTTTAAAAGACACTATCAGGTACATCAAGGTATCGTCGAGCCCGCTGTACAATGTTCAATATGCAAGTCATGGCTTAAAAATCAGCACAGTCTACGCATACATCGTTTCGTTCATGAGGAGCATCCCAATTCGTGCAATGTATGTGGAAAGTTGTTCAAGACACGGCACACATTACGCCGGCATATGAAATACTGGCACGAATTGGAGCGTAATTTGCATTGTACCTATTGTGATAAGGTCTTTCGACAGCAACGCAACTTGGAAGAACACATGGCCACGCATACGGGAGCCCAATTGTATACGTGTCCCCATTGCGGCAAGGAATCGAGATCCCGATCAAATATGTATGTTCACATTAAACGAGTTCACCCCAAAGAGTGGTGGCAATCGAAAGTGGAACGTTTGAATTTAGATCCGAATACTGAACATCCCGAAATAGAGAAATATCGTCAACAACAACATGATGTATTAAAAATGTATGATAATTTTTTATGTAAATAAACTCCAGTGTTTTTAAATATTGTTTAAAAAAAAATAAATATGACATTGTTTTACTCGTACGAAATAATGGTATAGTGTTAGGATCTTTTACGACATGATTTTACTTGATAGTGATATAAGATCTTGTTGTTTTCTATATTCTCTTGATACGAAATAAATCCAGATCATCAATTTTGTTTGCCATTTAATTGTTAATTACATTTCTGTCTTTCTACAAATTAATTTCACCTAGATGTTCAACGATAATTTATATCAACATATCTGTGATATTTGTGGTAAAAAATTCAAATCGAAGCCGGCTTTTCAGAAACACTACGATGAACATCAGGGTATTGTGGAACCAGCCGCCCAATGTTCCATATGCGGGGCATGGCTTAAAAATCGCTTCAACTTAAAAGTCCATTTAACCATACACGAGGATACGGAATTTTCTTGCGATATTTGTGGAAAATTACTTCAAACGAAAAAGAATTTGAGTCGCCACAAAAGATATTGGCATCGTTTGGAAAAAAATCTCAAGTGTAGTTATTGTGAAAAAATATTTCGTGAAAAACGCAATCTGGACGAGCACATGGCGACACATACGGAAACGCAACTTTATGCATGTCCCCATTGTGGCAAACAGTCACGTTCAAAATCGAACATGTATGTACATGTTAAACGTCAGCATCCCGAGGAATGGTTGAAATCGAAACAGGAGCGTTACAAAATAAAACCAAATTCCGATGACAAAGAACAAAAGACTGCCGTAGAAAAGGTGGGAGTAACGAACGCTGTCGAAACTCCGGTATAGAAAATAACTTTTCATTTTTAGCATTTAACTAATTTTTTTACTAAATGGACTAATTATAGTTGTAAGAATGTTAATTAATAAATACTAGTTTTTTACTTAATTTCATGTTGTGTTGTATTATTGCTACCAACATCAAATGGTAAAAAAATAACTCGTAGCTTCCCAATGCGGATTAATGTAACGCCTGTTGATAAGATACTGTAGGACACTGGTTTAGTATATACAAAATTCACAGTTGATATTTAAAAACACAATAATCCGGAATAAATTTCAAGATAAATAAATGAAATTTGGCATAGATGTTTATAGAATTCCTCAGATGTTTAAATATATAGCCGCCATAAGACGGTACCTCATATTTTGGAACATCTCTAGTTTAGTAAAAACTCTTCGATTTTTTCCGACATTATTTCCAGAGGTAGGTATTTTTACAGATTCTGGGAAAACTAGTTTTTTTCTTGAGGACGGACCTGGAAACACAGATTTTATAGATATCGATTGAATGCTTATGAAAATACCTGTCTAACAAGTGGCCCAATTTCTAACCAAATAAGCTGTAATTTGGAAAAAATTGGTCCATTTTTCGGTTTTTGTAAGGTTTGTTTTTCAACTTCAAATCGAATCAACCGATTGGAAATATTGCATATATATTAGGAGAAGTATGCAATATAGGTATTGCAACATATAACGTATCTTCAACCTTTAGAATAACTGATTTGGCCATGAATGAAATATTTTCATGGGGCAGCGAGGGGCTTATAGCCGTGATTTGGGATAAGTGGTTGGAATATGACTAATTATCTAGCCCGGTTGGTAAGCAGTCTATCTATCAATTTCATATTCGGTGAAAATAATTTAGACCACTGTAAGGACTAAGATATGGAACCTATTCAATAACTACATTTTTCTAAATATCTGTAAGTTTGCTTTCAACCTTTACACAGTTCTTAAGACGGACCATAGCAGTATGGTCCCTTTGTAGCCGGCCTTTGTAATTAGAGCCATTAAAGCTTGGTTGGTTTTACAAACACTGGAAATATACCAGTCACTTTTGAGACCCATAACTCGGGAAATATGGACTTCCCCAAGAACAAAAATGTTTTCAGTGGCCGGCATTTTTGCCCTGATTCCGGGAAACTATTTTTTCCTTGGGGACGGACCCGGGATCCCAGAATAAGGTTTAAGCACAAATTGTAGCATTTAAGAGTGTCAGCTATAATTTGACATCAATTTTTCCACTGTTTGCAGGTTTTATAAAAAATTTGGTTCCAAAAAAATCGATTTGACTATAACCGCTTTAAATAAACACATCATGTGACAACTTGTTGGATAGGTATTCTCATAAGCGATTGCTGGAGCTGGAAAACTATAGTTTTGTAAAAACTTTTTCTTGAGGTAGGCATTTTTACCCTGATTCCGGGAAACTATTTTTTTATGGGTACCGATATAGACAATATCGTCATCGAAAGCTTATTAAAATATCTAACCAATAAGTTGTCACATAATGGGGTAAGTGGCCACGGTTCGAAAGTTATAGTCAAATTGTTGGACCCGCGAAATGCAACTTTAAAAAACTATATATCGGGTAAGTGGATCCGCGTCTAGCCCGGGCCTTAAACACGGAATACCGGGTCAAAAATCTGTCGACCTGGGTCCGTCGCCCAAAAAGAAAATTGTTTCCCGGAATCAGGGTAAAAAATGTCTGCCTCTGGAAAAAAAAATTAGAAGAAATCGACGTTTTTTCTAAACTAGAGTTATTCCGGTGAATAAAATACTATCCGTTTGACTTAAGCTGGCCATAGACGAACGATTTGTTGGTGTGATTTGCAAATTTATTGCTGCGATTTATTGCATATCGTTTCTCCACACACGCTCGAACAAATCTGCTACAAATATGCTACGAAGCGGATGATGTTCATTTTGTGTTTGAACTTCGGTTTGTGCTTCTGTTTGAATTTTGTGGCAGAAAATTTTTTATTTAACAATTGGTTTTTTCTGTTGATAGGAAACTTAAAAAAACATGTGCGACGATGCAGCGGCTGATACAGCTGCGCTTTTAATTATATATACATGTTTCGACATGGAAAATAAAAAACAAAAAAAGAAAAAAACCCCAAAAAATGAAAAAGAAAATGGAGTGAAGAGTGGCTGCTCGAAAGAAAAAAGCAACCTCTTTCCATTTTGTTACGAGTTTTTCCCATGATTTTTGTTTTTCTAATTTGTCTTTATATTTTTCACTTTTTGTTTGCCAAATGGCATTTTCATTTTTTAACACATCAAAAAATTCTATCATAAAGTCTTTGCTTGCCATTTTTTGTATGCACTACACGACCTTTCGTTATAATGGTTGAAGAGCAACTGAAATGGCAAAATGGCTTAAAATTTGCGCAGTAGCCCACACACGTATGATTTGTTCGCAAACTACCCCACAGACGTAAAAACGCGACCACAAACCCAACAAATTGCTCGAATTTATCGTTCGTTTATGGCCAGCTTTACCTATTTCTCGGAACACGTAACAACACAAATATTTCGAAATCACAATTACAATTTTTCACCACTTTGATTAGCAAGAAAATAAAAAATGTATGTTCACGTTTGTTTTTATTCGAAATCAATTGTCGGAAAACGAACCAATCATGATTGATTTTGATTTTTCAAAGGGCTCTTTAGACTGAAAAATATCAAGTGACATAATAATCTATAGTTTACACAAGATTTATTTACATGGTGACGCAGTTATCTTGAAAAAAGAATGTCGCTCTCTTCTATTAAATATATGTTCTCCTTGGAAACACTTTACACCAAGAGTTTGAGCGAGCAAAAGTGGAACAACATCAAATTTGACATTACTTACCAGCAATAATACAAAGTTAACAAACAGCATTATTATTGCAAACAGCATTCTTATTGCAATTCATCATAAAATATGAAAACACACAACATTTGAACATATGGCATTACATTTCGAATTTTTTGACTCAGACATCTCCTTGCAACCAATGACTAAGTAATGGAACACGCCTAATATTAGCTAGAGAAAATCAATCAATCTGTTACCACTCTCAAGTGAATGTCATAAAAAGAAGAAAATATACACATCAGTAGACCATTAACTTTTTTCCTTTTTCCGGATAAAAGAAAACACTATTTGGAAAAATGGTTTGTCGATTGTGTCTAACAGATATTCCTCAGGAATCAGTTATAAAACTCTTCACGGACGTTCACGATGGAAAGGAGGAAGTTTTGGCGTTAATTGAAAAATATCTGGAGATTAAGGTTTGTTTTCCTAAAAGGAAAAGAATTTAATTACTACAATAATTGTGTTACAATTGGGGCAAAAGTCATTTATATTGTCGTGGGACCGGACCATGAACTAAGATTCCTTAAAACTATAGGTGTGTCTGGTTACCCTAAAATTTGTAACAATTGTTACAAATTGTTACTGGAAGTCGTCTGTTAACCCAAAAGTTCTGCAAAAGAGAGCGGTTGGAGAGAGAAATTTTGACAGTTCTTTCAGTGAGAGTTTGCAAATTCTTGCTGGAAAAATTTCTTCTTGCAATCACTTGCAACTCTTCTTCTTCTCATCCATCGACATTCAATCAGATGTTTTCTATTGTTTGTTTATTTATTTTTGTGCTTTCAATTTGAAAATTTTTTTTGGAATTAGCAAGACTAATAGTTTTTGGAGAAAAACTTTACAAAATGTGAAAAACGTAAATGTTAATATGTAATAAGAAAATAAAAGACTATTTCTAACATTTTTATTTAAAAAACTTGTAAAATTAGTATTGCTTCCTTTGTTTTAATTCTCCTTATGGGGGACAAATTGGTTTGTTTTGATTTGATCAGCTGATTAGTTGCAAGCTTCTGCAGGAATACCGTCTGTTTACTTTTCGCATTTTCCTTGCAAAAGAGAATAAAACTACCTTACTCTCTCAGAAAGAAGTTACTGGACAATTCCTGCAGGAAAAGTAACCAGACACACCTTATGAATTACCACTGCAGCTGGAATACGCAAAAGAGAGCCAATTTAATAATTCTAATTGGAATGACAGCTGTATTAGCTACTGTAGACCAGGCTATGAGTGGATGGAAAGAATACAAATAGACCCGAAGTTATTTTCTCTAAATTATTTCGGAAGGATATAGAAAAAATACAAATGGGGATATGGCACTGCAATGTCCAAACATTAAAAGTTTTAGATATCGACTTCCAATTACTTCCTCATACATACATCTCACATATTTATTATATTTATTTACATACATCTCATATATTTATTCTTCAAAATTCTTGATCGAATTAGAATTTGTTATACAAAATCATTAAAATAACTTTGCTTAACCAGCTACACTCCAAAGAAATTATTTGTATCGTGAATTGATTTATTTTAAAAATACTCATTATTATATATATTAATTTTTACCGAACTGATAATTTCCAATTTCTTTTTAAGATTCTTCAGGACGATGTCATATCAACGACAATTTGTCGGGATTGTCATGACCAATTGTCTGGTTTCAATCAATTCTGCAAAGATGTTAGCTCTAAACAGTCCAATCTACAAGATCAATATCTAGGAGTTCGACTGAAAACAGAGTGTCAAGATGATACAGACGATAGTTACTCAAATGATGCAATATTTGAACCATCCATTGATCTCGTTAAAACCGAGATGGATTTAGATGATGATGAAATTATCACTGGAGATGTTTTGAATGAAACGGAAATAGCAGAAGATGATAATGCTGACAATGATTACATGGATGATGATAGTATATCGGATGGTATGCATAAATAACTTTAGAATGGAAAATTATCTTATAAGAAATTATTATAAAACCAACTTGTTTATATTTTTTTCAGATGACATGCCACTGATAAATCTCAAATGTAAAAAGACCAAATCCAAAGCAAAAAATAAAACCAATAAAACTGACCCAAATAAAACAAAACAGTTCACAAGGGAAAAGAAACAAAAAAGTTATCTATCAGCTCAACAAATTATATCTGCATGCGTAGAGCTGAAATGTGACATCTGTCAAAATCCAGTTAATACCTGGAAAGAACTAAGAGAACATTATTTAATAGCTCACACAAGACGTCCATACATTAAATGTTGCAATAGTGTATTTGAAAAGCAAAGGCAATTGGCTGACCATTTGATTCGCCATAAAAATCCTGATAAATTTAGGTAGGATCACAAAAATGCCATGAGAAGGGATTAAGATATATATATTATTATTTACATGATTTTTTACAGATGTAAGCAGTGTGATGTGGTACTTAGTGATCTGAAAGAATTGGCAAATCATATTCAGACCAAACATCCAAACAATACTGAATCCTCAGCGACTGAATATCATGAATGTCCACATTGTTCCCGACAATTTCGTAGCTTTAAGGCATACACCAATCATTTGCATAAGCATAACGCAACTGAGGAAGGAGGTAAAAAGAGTCTGGGATGTCTTATATGCAGCAATAAAAAGTAAGTCCTTATATCAATTAAGTTTAAACCGGACAGAAGGTTTTCTCGTAAGGTTTAATTATTCTAAATTCTAAATCAGAAAATATACAAATAACCTGTTTATCTAAATCGATTTAAAGCAATTGTAAGAAACGAAATATTTTATAACCTTTGGGTTTGAATAGAATCAAGGCCGCTTTTTTGCAACCACGGCTTTGGTGCCTATTCTTGCCATTTAGTTTCGATTCGGTTTAGATAATCGGGACAAACCAATTAAAACCGTTCCAGTATACGTTAAATTTTAACTTAATTTGAAATGTTTCATAATATTTACATCTATTTTTCTTCCAAACAGTTTCGAAAATGAACAAGCATTGCGACAACACATTGACACCGAACACAAAGATATTTACTATCACATTTGTGAGATTTGCGGTAAAACATTCAAAGCTAAAGAATCGTTTAAGAAACACTACGAAACGCACAAGGGAATTGTTGAACCCCCCGTTCAGTGTACCATATGTCACAAATTTTACAAGAACTATGATAGTTTGCGCCTACATCGTATGCGGCACGAAGAACGTCCGCGTTCATGTGAGATATGTGGACGTAATTTTACAACACAACGTACCTGGAAGAAACACGTACAGTATTGGCATGAAATGGAGAAAAATCTGCCGTGTACGCTATGCGATAAGGTGTTTCGTGAGAAACGGAACTTAGATGAACACATGGCCACACACACCGGTGCCCTGTTGTATGCCTGTCCACACTGTGGCAAAGAATCACGTTCGCGTGCCAATATGTATGCCCATGTTAAACGTCAACATCCCGAAGAGTGGTGGCGCAAGAAAATGGAACGTTTCAATTTAGATCCAGATACATTAAAACCTAAAACATTGCCGCAGGATGGACAGTAGTGAAATTCAGTATTTTTTTTAGAAGTTCCATTGCTTTTCATTCCCAACAATATTTTGTTGAATGCTAGAAATAATCATCATCATCAGAGTTAAAATAATAAAATTTATTTATTTAACATTTTGTATTTAGTTTCTTTCAGATTAGGAATAAACTAAACCAATTGGGGGCAATTTAAAGAAAAACATGAGCGAAATATCACCGGCCATTGCAACGTGGATCCATGACTTCTAAATGCTTACTGTAGGCTCTGCCAAAATGAGTAAGAAATTGAGATGGTCGAACATTTGCCCTGCCACTGTCCAACTTACATCAATTTGAAACACAGGCTTGTGGGAGGACAAATAACACACGACCTGTCTTCATTCTCTAACGCCGAGCCAACAGATTTCTTTATCTAGCCAGAAGATTTAAGTGGCTTAAAACGACACGATGGATTTTCTCCTCCCTCTTTCTCACATTTAGAATGAATACAGGGTGAGATGAAAAAACTGCAACCAACTTCAGCCTGCTGTCATTTCTAAGCCACTCATCCGACAGCTGTTAAAATTATTCCAGTGACTGCTCATTATATTGTTTACAAGCGTACAAAAGCATTTCGGTGAGAATTTTCCAGAAAAAAAAAAGTTATTCGTGATAATGGTAGCGTAGGCCGACGTCAAGGAAGTGGGCGGAAGAAAACAGCAACATCAGCAGAAATGGTTCGAAATATAAAGAAGCTACTTGATCGAAACTCGCTTCACAGTGGCCGAAAAATTTCTCGTGAGCTGAACATATCGCAATATTCCATTCGGCAAATATTAAAAAATTATTACCCCGAGCTCATTTTTCAATATTTGTTGCCACCACCTACTCTCTCTACTCTCTCAGAAAGATGTTGCTGGAAAATTCCTGCAGGAAAAGTAACCAGACACACCTAATATAATGAGCTGTCACTGGAATAATTTTGACAGCTGTTGGACGAGTGGCTTAGAAATGACAACAGTCTGAAGTTGGTTGCAGTTTTTTTATCTCACCCTGTATACTTCTACTAAAATCGATCAGTGGATTTTAGATTCAATATCCCATAATAATTTAAAAAACAATTAAATTATTCTCAAAAAAAATCTTAAAAATGTATTTTCAATCAATGTATTATTTTAAAATAACATTATTCAGAATAATGTGAAAATATTTATGAATTACTGTGTACTTCTGAAATATATATATATATATGTTTTTTTTATTTTTTTGGGATATTGATAATTTTAATATTGTTTTCTATGTACATATGGGCATGTACAAATTATTTACATTAAAACGCTAACATATATACAGTGTCAATCGACTGTATACCAACATCTACAATTGTTGTCCATATTTCCATATCTTAATCTATGCAAAACAATTTTAAAACAGTTCTAAAATCATGTTAATCATGAATGAATAGTTTGCTTTTCAAAATTACTTACAAGTGATTTGATTAAAATTAAAATCAAAAAAATATATGTATGAAAAACGACAAAATTATTTCAAATTTTGTTTGTTGTACTTTTGTGTGTGAGATGATTTCGTTAGGAGCATTTTGAACGGGCTCTCTGGCTATTTATCCCTGGCCATTGCAGGTGTCTGCTTTAGGTATCGAGAAGACAAATGCCAAACATCCAAAACGCACAAGCGAACCATGCTGCAAAATAGCTGTCCCTTCCCAGGCACCCTTTATCATGGGTGTCTCATCGTATGGTGAACATTTGCAGTCCGGTTTTTGGGGTGGTGCCATTCTGTAAAACATTTTAATACAAAATCAATCTCAAAATACCAATTCCATACTACTATGCTCAACATACCTTGCCGTGTTATCGAGCACATAATAATGACGCTGTATGCCTCTTCGCTTATCCAAAATAGCTTGAACTTTACGTTGCAATTCAACATCTTCAGCTTTCAGTTTTTTAGCAGGTGTGGGTGGTGGTTCAGTAAAATCGCAGGAATACAATTGACCATTGACCTCTGTACCATATTCAGAGTAATTAATCAATTCATAGGTTTTTGTAAAATCATCATAGAAAATTGTGGCATGCTTGGGAGATATGCGTCGGCAATAGCCAATGACAGATAAATTGACGTCCACTCCCATATTTGAGTCGCCATAGCCAATGTTAATGCTGCGATATCGCATAAAGAACGACGAGTGCAGTTCAATGTTGCTAAACCAACGATTATCTTCGAGGATATCGCCCAGAGGAGTTAGAACAGCTCTGGCACGTATTTTTCGTCGCAGAAGCTTCAATTCAAGTCTGCTGGCTATTTCGTATGCCTTCTCTTGATCGGTATACACACGTGGTGTATATTTTTGTTCCTCTTCGTCGGCGGCCACAATTGCTGCCGCAGTGGCTAATGCGGGGTGTAATTGAGGCATATCTTCACTAGTGGAATTGGGCTGCGCCAATATAGATGATGTCTCCCCGGTGAACATTATGCTTAATCGCCGCACATCAGTTGGCGAGAGAATAGCCGATGGAACTGGAGGCGGCAATTGTTCTCCCGAAACTTGATGTGGCAGCTGATTTAACTCTCGAATACGCTTAGCAGCTGTACGATTTTGATATTGTCCAACAATTTCCGGGTGATCCTGCACGAGTTGTTGCAAACGTTGGTAAGCCAATTTCTTTATCAAATCCACATCTAAATATTGAAGTTCTGCATCTATTTGTGGATCATATTTTGTTTCTTCATCGGAATCATAGCCACCACTTTGATTAAGGGGTTCATTTTTAACATGCTCTTCTGGCGTTGTCTGTGTTTGAGCTGACTTTTCCTCCTTTTCTTCAGGCATTACTTCAAGTTCGGTCTTGATTTCAGTTTCTTTCACAAGCGACAAGTGACTTGTCGAATTTCGTTTTGAGCGTTTAGATTTCTGTGATGCTGTTTTGCTGGCCGATTTATCGGCATCCTCATCCTGTGAACCATCATTGCCTTCTTTGTCTGATTTTAGAGATTTTTCCTTGGACTCAGTTGGTGTTTTACTATCCTCCGGTGATGGATCTGCCTTCTCAACATTATCATTGTCTTCTTTTTCCTCTTGTTCATCATCTTCACTGTCACTGCTGCTACTGCTGCTCAATTCTTCTACACGTCCCAATTCTTTTTGTATTTCTCTAAATTTAGCCTTTGCCGTCTTCAAAGCCTCCAAGTCCTTAACCAATGATTCGGCGACACTCTCTTTTGATATAACCTCTGGAGAACTAGGCAAGCATTTGCGTCGTTTAACAATGTCGTAGCGTAGAGTTTCTCTTAGCGAGGGTAATAGGGGAGGCGGATTTTCATAATGATATTTAACCATGGGAGGTACTTCTATAGCCTCTCTGGACTTTACCGGCACCTTAATACGAAATGGTGGATTTTTCATATGTACACGACGAAAAAAATCCATTTTAACAGCCTCGTGATCGAACGGCTGTGAAAATTTGTCCCACAAACGAACACGTTCCGTTGCTGAAATACTCGACAGTAGATTGTTGTCCTATACAAAGTAAAAAAATAAAACGGACAACATTGTTGTTAAAAAGGCTCAAATCTGTTTTTTTTTTTCTTGCTTAAACATACAATAAAATTTTCCACATGATTTGGGCACATCCACAAGCCAGTTGGCAGTGCCGTCATTGGAGGATCTAAGCAATCTTGGTGGAAATATAATGGACAATAATCGCAGGCTACAAGTGGTGCTTTTTTACACGAACGATGACAATAAAAGCATGTTTTGGCTGGCAAGGGCACTAAACCCTGGGAATCCAACTCGAAAGGTTTGGAATTTCTTCGATAATTCGGTTTTTTATGGTTATTGCCATTTTTTCGTATAGGCTCAACTGCAATGAGAATAAATGAACATTTTAGTAGTTACAGAAATTTTGGAGCAAATATCAGCTCTTCAGTGGCTAATTGTAAGTTTAATCCCTGACAAAATAAAACATATTATAATTTAAAAAAAGATAGAAGACTTTAAACTAAAAAGGTTTAAACATAAACATTGATCTGTTCTTTCTGATTAAATTAAATATTAACAACAATTATCATCAACAGTCAAAGATATTTCCTATTCCAATCTTAAATCTAAACGACATTCATTTAAATCTATAACCCAAACTCACTTTTGTCATTGCCCGGAAATTGTGTGTGAATCTCGAGTTCTCTGGGCAATTCAAATTGCTTTGGATTTAATATACTTGCCGCCTTGATAAGTTCGTCTAAGGGCGTGGGCTTTTTATTTGGATCCAATGCTCTCTGTATACCAACTGGTAGTTTCGAAAGATATTTTTCTGTACTACTCAAATCACTGCAAAAGGAGGCACGACTACTACTGCGTTTACGCAAATGACGAATTTTCAATGGAATAGACTCCAAATCACCGCCAGCGGATGGAGTATTAGGTCTTGAACTGGCACCAGCTGCAGCTGCTGCCACTGCTGGTGTTGTAGACGTACGCTCCACGGAGCTCGATTTCGATGAGTGTGAGGGAGCGGTTTTTAAGGTCATGCGACAATTGTGACATAACCACTGACCACTGGGAATATCATCTTCGGTAAGTGGAGGATCACTGCAATATAATTTAAGGTTATGTGTTATATATACATGCCTGTACTTGAGAGGAGAATAATGTTGCCCATGCACACAAGCATTTCCTTTACTTACTGGCATTGCAAATGGAAACTGGAGGGACAACGATCACAGCAGAGCAAGTCACCACCTTCCTCGCATGCATCGCACAAATCATGGTTATGGCCTCGGCCAGGTCTCTTGTAGTAGGGATGCTTCGTAGCCGTCGGGCGAACGCCTAATTTTTCATCCTCAGTTGGCGGTGGTTTTATCAAATTTTGTATTTGCTAAGGAAAAATAGAACGATTTTCAGTAACGAATATTTCCCAAATATTTAAGACATCCATGAAATAATGTTAAGTGCTACCCGATGAAAACTATGGGAAATGTGTATTTCCCACTTTTTTCTCATTGCACCAGAGTTGCTTTAATGGCCCATTGATTGGTCTGTCTGGCTTTCACTTTGACTTAATCCACATTTCGTACACTTACCTCCATAATGCTTAATTCAGCATTAGGATTAGTTTCAGTTTTAGACATTGTCCCAAAAGTTATTTCTCTATTAATGATTTATTAATAAATAAATCGTTTGTTATTCTATCTATGGACAACAACGTTAAGGACTCCTTCTTGCATGCAGACAACGAAGCCTAATATATTACTCGCAGACGGCGACTCACAAAGTACAGACAATCAGGCACGGCGTGACAAAAATTTTTGCCGACTTGAGGATGACTTTCGGAGCAGCAGAGAAATAATTTAATTAAATAAATAGTATCCATTACGAACTTCAAATACCAAATTTGAAACAATTCCGCTAAATAATGTCGCTAAAATCATCAAAATATAGCAAATCGGGAGGAACCGTTATACGGGGGATATACGAAGACGTGGACTAGAGCCCCTTTTTCAATACCAAAAGTCCTGCAGACATAATACACATTTGAGTAATTTACTTCATTTCGTTCAGAAGCTAGAGTGATTTCACAGACGGACAGACGAACGGACATTTCTAAATCGACATAGTATTTTATGCTGATCGAGAATATATATACTTTGTGGGGTCCTCTATACTATGGTGGAGGGTATAAAAAGGCTATTTTGGCTGACTTCAGTCATCGGCTGGCTTCTATGTAAAAGAACAGTGATTTTTTATTTTGATTTAGTGCAATTTCTAAGCTATTATGTGAAATGGTATACGTTTTACGTAAACACTTGTAAAACTTGAAAATTCTTGCATGTAAAGGAAAATTGCGAATGTATATGTCACACGTCAATATAAAAGTGGCCTTTGAGAAGAACAATCGACGTTGTTGACAAATACTACGCCGTCCAAACATGTATAATCGACAGTGTTTTCTTTTTGTTTGTAAATGACGTTCTATTCATAAATATTCTATTCCTATTCCTCTATAATTAACAAAGTGATTATTTACGAGAAAAAATGTTTTCATTTTTCACCAAAAAGGCACAGAATCCAGACTCCCCAGTTATAATCCAAGGTCCATCAACAACAAATGACTCGCAGAGCAACGGCGCAGATGATTTCATTTTTGTAGAGAAAAAAAGCGATGGCCCAGAGCAGCCAACACCACCTCAGCATCCCATGTATCCACAAATACCACCGTCTGCAGGAGCATATGGGTCTCCATATCCAAGGTATCCCTATGGGCCTCCACCAGTAACTGACACAAACAGTGTAGCGCAAAACCATCCCGTTCCCTATGTACATGATATACCGTTCGTCCTTGCTCCCCAATTATGTACAAAGTCAACTTTTGATGATACACAAACGCAAGTCGATGGAATATTGGCTTTCCTAACAAGACAAATGTCGGTCACCGAAGAGGAGGAATATAATTTCTCTTTGGAACGGTCCATACAAAATGAGTGTTATTAATGTGCCATATAATGGCGAAAGCAGTATGGGTTTGTATGTTCCGCATTTCTACAAAAATTCTCAAAATAAAGCTTATATTTAATTTTTAAATAAATGAAACTAAAAACCAAAAATTATTTTGTTATAGTTATATACATTGGAGTTTCTCATCTCAAGTAAGTAAACCAGAAGGAAATAGTTTTAAAACTACATCCACACATTATAGTATTAAAACCAGTAAATGATTAATCATTCAGTTGATATGAAACGGTCATAAAGGCGATCAACTTCAGTTATTATTCTGATATGTTATCATGAATCCATGTCTCAAAGGGCGATGTAACAGGCAGTCGCATAACCGCTGCTAACTGACCATGAAGTGGGAAAATAAGTTATTTTAGTTTTAAACAAAAATATAACAATAGAGACATGCTTGGTGACGCGTTAACTGGTTTTACTTATTTTGGCCAATACTATATGTTAACCCTTAATAGCCTGGTGGTCCCTTCAGGAACCTCAACTTCAGAGACTTGTTTTTCAAAACTGTTACATTTTTTGCGCAATGTTTATTCAGCAAATATTCTCTTTATAATGTATGCCATATAGCGAAAAAGAAAATCATATGCTTTTCGGTGCTGAACACCTGATTTTTGACGTTTATCAGAAAAACACACAAAAGCTTCAAAGTGAACAAGTCGTGCTTTTTCAAATTGATTGAAATCAAAACTTTTGCTCCAAAAGAACCAAATAAAATTAATTTTTATTATTTGTGCACTATATTAAAACCATGTAATTATCTTTTTAGCAATATAATTTTTTTTGTTGGTGTTTTTCGTGTAAAAGTCCTTCGGTCCTTCAAAGAACCAGTAGGCACTCATTAGAGAAGTGAAATTCGTTAGTGCTTTAGCGCCTTTTTCTAATTTTAGTGTAAATGTTTAATTTTTCATAGAAAAATGCCACGTAAATACAAAGATTTTACCGCGGCTAAAGAGTTTGAAGCATTCGTCAATAATTTTGAATGGTCAATAAGTGAAATTGGCGATATATCAGATTTGACGACGAAAGTCTAGACGATCCCGATTTCCATATAGTGACAAATGATGATGCGAATACCATGTTTTGGACAATGAACCAGACTTGGGAGCAGCAGCAAATATTGTGATGCGGCTTGCTCGTAAAGTTCCGCTTTTCAAGAACTACAGAATTTTCTTCGAACTATTCCTTTATTGGCTTATTTACGCACCCAGGGAATCTATGGGCTTGGAACAGTTCAACGTAACCGAATTCCTGGCTGCAAATTGCCAGAAAAATTACCCAATCGATAATTACCCTGCGATAATCCACGAGTACAACAAGTACATGGGAGGTGTTGATCTTAAGGATTCGTGCTTTGGTAGAAGCCGCATAAGAATAAAATCGTCTTATGTACATGATAAATGCGTGGATTTTATATAAACGCCAATTCTCTTCATCTCCTCGTACAGATAAAATGCTGACTTTCCACGAATTTATCGCAGACGTCAGAAAAGTTTTAGTAAAATCTGGCACACAATCCATAAGGAAAGGACGTCCAAGAAGCACTGGAGGATGTGAGACCCCTGAAAATGTGCCAAAACGAGTTCGGGTAGTAATGCCGCCTAGTGACGTGCGGTTTAATAATCTTGGGCACTTCCCGAAATACTTAACAACAGGCAAACCTCGTTGTAAAATGCCCAATTGCACATCTAGAACAACAGTGTATTGCATTAAATGTGAGGTAGAACTGCTTTCTAGAATACCATACAAAACATTGAATAAATGAACTGAAATACGTATATAATTTAAATGAAAATAAAAAAAATTCATATATAAGCCATATGCATTCTACTTGTCAAAGGAGAGCCTGGTGGTTCTTCAAAGAACCAACACACAAAACCTCCCCTAAAATGTCCAAAACGCAAAATTGTGAAAAGTCGTAGAACAAACGTTGTTAAGGGTCCTAAAATACAACATATAAAATTTTTTCATTGAAAAGAAAAAAGTCAGGCTATAAAGGGTTAAATACTTAATTAATGCAATAGCCTTGGTACAGTTACAAAGGCAATCTCATTCTAAAATTACCTCGTCAAATTTAATATCATTGAAATCAGGTTTTCATTTCTAATTTGAATGGATTCAGAAACAGATGTTTGCGCAATTTTATATTTTATGTACAATTTTGAATAAAATTGTCAACATATGATTGCAACTCCAATAATAATATCTCAAATACACGCTGATCGATTCTCTTAATAATTGATTTTGAAAATTTATTTTTTTGAAACAATAAATGCAAATACAAAAAACCTGGTAGCTCCATCATACTTTTTTATTGTGATATGATTAAACCCATGGTAGAAGAATATAGGTAGTCGCATCGAAACAGCTGCAAGGACAATGAACTGTCAAATCAATTTTGGAATTTAAATTTTTAAATGAAAAATTATACAGGTTTGTAAAAATTGTTAAAAATGCATATCATAGCAACCTTGCTGAAATAACAATCTCCGATTAGCGTCGCATAAGAAAACATATAAAATCTACTTATCTTTGAAAAGAAATAAAAATAGAGGGATTATATTAACTTGTTGAATTTTAAATGAGTTATTTATGGGGCTGAACCCCCCATGATGTAACAAGGACTTCGCCGCCGACAAAAACAGAATAAAGTGATGCCGCAACGCCTTTGTGAAAAATACATACGGCTTTGTATTATATTTGTGTTTTTGCAGACAAGGGGTTACATTTTTCGTCGTTGATTTATTGGTATTACATTGTTTTCTTTTACTTATTGTCAATTTACTAATAAAATATATACTTTTCCTCTAGTTATTTATATGTAGAAATGGCTTCGCAGCCTGTAGAGACCCAAGGGCTGCAGCAAAAGTCCAAACGACCTTCAGGTAAGAAAATTGTCTATTAATGTACGTGAGAAAGAAAACAGTTGAATATTGGTGATTAATTGTTGGGAATTGATGGGGGTCAATAATATGACTAACAATGTAAACGGAAGTAACATTACTTTTTATCTTACTATTACCAATATTTATGTTATTTGTCTCTTTCAGATTCTGCCTTTAAACAGCAACGTTTACCAGCATGGCAACCTGTTCTGACCGCTGGCACAGTTCTACCAACGTTTTTCATCATCGGTATACTCTTCATACCAGTCGGTGTAGCTCTATTGTACTTTTCCGATGAAGTTAGCGAACATGTTATAGACTATACAGATTGCCTTAAAGTTGGCCAAAATAATGTTACATGTTCGTATTACATTGAACAGAATCCAAGTTCAACATGCCAGTGTGAAATTACTTTTACCCTAGATAAAGATTTTGTGGTGAGTAGTAGGGTCCACATACATACATATATGTAATAAAAAATAGATAACTATTTTTAGAGCTTATTGAATATTAATTGTTGCGATTAAATAATTCTTATCTTTGAGATATACCTTGGCACACAAGAAACTTTGGAGTAGAGCATAAATTTGTTGATAGATTTTAATTTTCATTAAAATCTCTGTGAAAGAATAACTAAATTAATAATAATCTGCAATCTTATCAAATTGTGACATATTGGATAGTACATGTCTTTGGTATTACTCACTCCAAGTTTACTTAAGATTAAAACCAGTAAAGAAAGTCTTAAAGTCGGGCGGGGCCGACTTTATGATACCCTACACCACTTTGCTGATTTAGTAGAGCTCCGCATAAAAATTAAAAAAAATTTTATAGGAGAATTCAATCATACACGCTATGATTATAATTTAAAGTTCAAAGGACTAAATATGCCGATGCATTTATATCTTTTAAATTCGGACTTTTTTGCCCAATTGGTGCACAATTAATTTGAAATCGGATAAAAATATATATGGGAGCTATATCCAAATCGAAACCGATCTCAATAAATTTTGGCAAAGATATTTCTGAGCTGTATTTCATATATTGCCCTGAATATCGTTGTTACGGAGTGCATATTACGGCTGTGGGTAACAAATATGACAAATCGGATGAACAGTATATATGGGAGCTATAGCTATATCTGAACCGATCTTCACCAAATTTGACATACTAGCTCAGTTCGGTCGTAAGTGCCAAATTTCATCCAATTTGGACAAATATTAGACGTTTGGTGCACAATCAAATGTAAATCGGACGAAGTTATATATATGGGAGCTATATCTAAATCTGAACCGATCTCGATAAAATTTAGCAAATGTATTTCTAAGCTGTATTTGGTATATTTCCCCAAATATTGTTGTTACAAAGTGCATATTACGGCTGCGAACGACAAAAATAGCAAATCGGATGAAAAATATATATGGGAGCTATAGCTATATCTGAACCGATTTCGATCAAATTTGGCATACTTATTTTTAGGCTTAATTTGGTTGTATGTGCAAAATTCCGTACTATTCGGGCTGATATTACACGTTTGGTGCACAAAAAAAGGCAAATCGGACGAAGATATATATGGGAGCTATATCCAAATTTTGACCGATTATCTCCAATTTCAATAGGGTTCGTCCTTGGGCCAAGCAAATGATTTGTGCCAAATTTCATCTGGATAGGGCAATAAATGCGATCTGTACTTTGTTTACAAAAATACATGGACAGACGGACGGACGGACAGACGGACGGACGGACGGACGGACATGCATAAATCGACTCAGAATGTGATTCTATGCAGATCATCAAAAGGAACTATGGGTCTATCTTATTTCCTTTTGCCTGTTACAAACAAATGCACAAAGACATAATACCCTGACCACCTTGTGGTGTAGGGTATAAAAACGTTGTTTTGCTAAACCTGTAAAGCTATAAATTTTTAGGGACGCAAAACTTATTTCTATTGCTTTTACATTTATGTTTTTAGGGAAATGTTTATATGTATTATGGCCTTAGCAATTACTACCAAAACCACAGACGATATGTAAAATCTCGCGATGATGATCAACTGCTTGGACGTTTGTCACAGACACCATCCACAGATTGTGTACCATTTGCCTATGAAGATGATCCGATAACTGGTGTCCAAATGCCAATTGCTCCATGTGGTGCTATTGCAAATTCACTTTTTAATGGTAACATTAAATTGAGAGAAAAATAAATTAAAATCTAATGAAAAAATTATCGTTTCAGATACCTTGTCATTAGAGTATAACAACAAATCTGTTCAATTGCTAAATACTGGCATTGCATGGCCCTCGGATAAACAAGTGAAATTCCGTAATCCTCAAGGTAGTCTAGAAGCAGCTTTAGAGAAATTTGCCAAACCTAAATTTTGGAGCAAGCCATTATGGAAATTGGATCCTGAAAATCCCGATAACAATGGTTTTCAGGTAAGCCATAATGGAATGAAAATAAGATGGATAATGAGTTTTTTATTTTGTTGCAGAATGAAGATCTAATTGTTTGGATGCGTACCGCTGCCCTGCCCAGTTTCCGTAAATTATATCGACGCATTGATCATAGTAAGCCCAATTTTGAAAATGGCTTAAAAAGTGGACCTTACAAATTAATCATAGATTATCGTACGTACATTTAATATACATTTCCCTGCAATTCGTAAAGCATTTTTTTCTCTTTAGGATATCCCGTTTCGGCCTTTGATGGATCCAAGAAAATGATTTTATCCACAACATCATTGCTGGGCGGAAAGAATCCATTTTTGGGCATTGCATATATTGTTGTTGGCTGTATCTGTCTTATACTTGGCATTGCATTGTTGATCATACATATCAAGTGTAGTAAAAGGTTTGATATTTTACCATAAAATTATTTTATTTCGTTTTTTTTTTTGAATGAGGGGAATTGCACCACTAGTGGACAAGCCCCAATTTAAGATTACTATTTCATTTTTCAGTTGCATTTATCGAAAACAATAAAAATCATTATAACAAAAAATGAGAAACAATGTTCTCAATTCTGTTTGCACATTCATTTATATGTAATCACTGGTATTGGTCATATATTCTACACGGAAATCCATCGGAACAATGGGGAATTTATGCACAAGTTTTATTTACGTGCAAAAAAAATTAAATAATACAAAATTCGATAGTTTCGATTGGGGATAATTAAAAATTTCTAAAAAAATTAAATTCGAAAATGTAAAAAAAATCAAAAAGGATCTCCAAACATTAGTCTCGGGTTTAATTTTATTTTTTAATTTACTATTTTATTTCATAAATATGTTTAAACCACAAATTAATAATATGTATTTTCTTTTATTACAGCAATTCGGAAATGATCAATGTTAATCCTCGTACACCATATTCATAAATGATCACAAAAAATCCAAAGAAAAATCCTGCATATGTGTATGTCTGTAGTATGTGAACATGCTAAAACTATTGCCGTATTTCTAAGCAGTCCGGTCCTTCATTGCATTGTGTTAGTTTATAAAAGACGTATATACTACGATATAACGAAACAAATAAATATTATTAGATGTTTTAATATGATTCTACTGAGAAACTGTCTAGTGTCTTACTATAATAGTATTGTTTATATTTGATAAGCATTTGTTTTTTATTTGAATTTCTTTTCAATTTACTTTAATCTTACACCTAATTATTTTTTTAAATAAGATTGTCGTTTTGTAAAATCTAAATGGTATTTAAATTCTGCTTACCTCTTTTCTTAAATGGGGAAAAAATGTCTATGTGTAGTTTTTTTTGCGATGACATTTCATTGTTATAATTGTTGTTTTTTATTATCATATAAGCACATAATTTATAAATCACTTGTGATCTTTTTAATAAACATTATACAAACCAATTAAATTTGGTTTTCATTGATTTGAAGTGGGATAAAATAAACAATTTATATGAAATGAACATAATATAAATAAATGTTTTCCATTTTTACAATGGTTCTGAAAAGTTTTGCAATCTATAGAAATCGTATGGAACTTTCTCTTAAGAAACTACCGATATAGCCCATCTTCGAACTTCGAACTTTGTCAAAATGTTTACTTATGAATTCATTGTACATACACACACAAATTAGTGATGGGAACCTGTTTTTTATATCCTCACCCATATGGCTACAGAAGGTATATACAATTTGATATTTTGACCGTATCAAATTGTCGAAAATACGGCCTAGTCGAAATGACGGTTCTAGACCCTAGGTCTCTTTGGACCAAATCCTTTCTCTCACAGGAAGTATCCGATTTGGTCCAAACTGGGTACATCGAAATATTTTTGTCAAACTTAGATCGAGTTCGGAGATGGGCAATATCGGCTCCACTTCGAAATTTTCAAAAAATATATTTTTTGCACAGAAAGAGAAAGGATAATCCGATTTTGCTCCAACTTCGCAAATCCTAATATTTGCGTCAGTGCTAGGTCAGGTGTGAAAATGTACAGTAAGGGTCCACTCCATCAAGTACCTCCCACACAAATGGTCAAAATTTTGAATAATTACAACTCTCATCAAATGTAATTTAATTATCCGATTGTCTTCCAATTTCACTCGTCCCAATATTTATATTAACCCAAGGTCTGGTGTTAAGATGGACAAAATCGGTCCACTCCTTCTTATACCTCCCCCACAAATGGTCGAAATTTGCAAAAAAAAAAATATTTTCTGCACAGAAAGGGAAGCAATAATCTAATTTTGTAAATCCTTATATTTGCGGCAGTTCTAGGTCTCGTGCCAAAATGGATAATATTGGTCCACTCCATCAAGTGCCTTTCCCATAAAGGGTCAACATTTTGAATAATTATAACTCTTAAAAAATATGATGTAAGAGTCCGATTGTCTTCAAATTTCACACATCCTACTATTTTTATGAAACAAAGATCTGAAGTAAGACGGAGTATATCGGTCCACTCATTCTGGTGCCTCCCCCACAATCGCTCAAAATGTTGAATATCCATGAAGCTCATAAATTGCGAAATCAGCATCCGATTCCATTCCAGATGTGGTACGTCTTAATATTACCATCAACACAAGATCTGTTATAAAGATGGTCGAGGTCGAGTTCAAAATTTTGAAAAACATAACGCTCAAAGAAAGCGAAATAAGCATCCAACTCTCTTCGAATTTCACACATACAAACATTTTTGCTAACACAAGATCTGTTGTGAAGATACTATGTATCTACGAGCCTCTTCTGGTACCTCACCCACAAAGGGAAAACATTTTCAATACTTTTATCTGACATAAATTGCGAAACAATTGGACAATATTGACCCATTCTTCCCAAACCTACTCCATAGAGGGTCAAGAGTTTTAAAATTCATAACAGAAGACAAAATATTTTAAAATAATCGAACATTGGCTGAGGGTATACATCTGTCGGCAAAACCGACCGACACTTTTTTACTTTATATGCAGTTAAATTACAGAAAATATTTTTCTTAATTTTACCTTTGCATTATCAGGATATAATACATGGTCTGTTCCAGTACTACTTTTTTACTTGTTTTGCAGTTAAATAGACAAGGTAAATTACAGAAAATGCAGTTATGGGTATGCTTATGATTTTACTTTCTTAATTTTACCTCGGTATTATCACGAGATAATACATGGGGCTTAACTCTAGTTTAGTAAAAACTCTTCAATTTTTTCCAGTGGTAGGTATTTTTACCCTGATCCCGGGAAACTATTTTTTCTTGGGGGACGGACCCGGAAACCCAGATTTTTGACCCCAAAATCCGGGTTCAAGACCCGACTAGATCCGAATACAATATAGGTATCGTTAGAAAGCTTATGAAAATACCTATCCATCAAGTGGTCACATGATAAGTGGACAGGGTTCGGAAGTTATAGTCAAATTATCGATTTTTTGGACCCGGATTTTTTATAAAGTCCAAAAAGAGTCCATTATGGGGGTCAACAAAATTGATGCCAAATTATAGCTGACACTCTTACCTATCCAAATTGCTATAATTTGCGCTAATCGGTTTAGGACATACTCAGATGAGAAAATCTAAAGCCCCGGCCGAAGGCCGACTACTTCCAAAAGGTATCCAATTTAGAAAACTTTGGTTCGCGTTAGCCGGTGTGGGACATACCCAGAGGAGAAAATCTCAAACCCCGCCCGAAGGCCGACCACTTACAAAAGGTATCCAATTTAGAAAACTTTGGTTCGCGTTAGCCGGTGAGGGACATACTCAGAGGAGAAACTCTCAAACGCCGCCCGAAGGCCGACCACTTACAAAAGGTATCCAATTTAGAAAACTTTGGTTCGCGTTAGCCGGTGAGGGACATACTCAGAGGAGAAACTCTCAAACCCCGCCCGAAGGCCGACCACTTGCGATACCTTTAGAAAATTTTGGTTCGCGTTAGCCGGTGTGGGACATACCCAGAGGAGAAAATCTCAAGCCCCAGCCGAAGGCCGGCTACTTACAAAAAATGTCCAATTTAGAAAACTTTGGTTCACGTTAGCCGGTGTAGGACATACCCAGAGGAAAAAATCTCAAGCCCCAGCCAAAGGCCAGCTATTTTCAAAAAGTGTAAAATTTAGAAAACTTTTGTGGTTCCAACGACTGCTACCCGAAATAAACCTTTTTTACTGAAAACATAATTTTAATGAACTGGTTAGGATCGGGTTATGCGGATGGAAAGACCCATATCTCTGGACCCCAAAAAGGTATCAATTTTGTTGCATTTTGGAAAGGTAAGAGTGTAAGCTATAATTTGACATCAATTTTGTTGATCCCCATAATGGGCCCTTTTTGGACTTTTTGTGGGTTTTGTAAAAAATCCGGGTGCAAAAAATCGATAATTTGACTATAACTTCAGAACCTTGACCACTTACCCCATCATGTGAAAACTTGTTGGATAGGTATTTTCATAAGTTTTCCAAAGGATATTGTTTATATCGGGTAATTGAATCCGGGTTCAGACCGGATCTTGAACCCGGATTTTCGGGTCAAAAATCTGGGTTTCCGGGTCCGTCCCCCAAGAAAAAAAGTTTCCCGGAATAAGGGTAAAAATACCTACCTCCGGGAAAAATTTCGAAAAAATCGAAGATTTTTACTAAACTAGAGTTGTTCCTTTCACTGAATTAAAAAGAGGTTCCCATCTCTGATTTCTGTGTACAATGGATTTATAAATATAAATTTTGACAATGAGATGTTGTCAAACGAATAATTTTGAAAGGGTGGAATTTTTTGTGAGGGTGGAAATACATAAAGCGCATATTTGGCTGGTTTAAGTCATCGGCTGACTTTTTCGTAGATGAACAAATAGTTTTAGGTTGACTTAGTTCGATTTTGGCCCTAAGGTCCTTTGTTCATTTCCGAAGAAGTCAGCCGATGACTTAAGTCAGCCAGATAAGCGCTTTATGCATTCCAACCTTAATTCTACCATGGGTAACAACATGTTTACACTTACTAAGTCGAGGGGATTTCAATTGTCAATTGCATTGCCTATAAGCGAAATTAAATTGGCTCTAAAATCCAGTGGATTTTATTTAAATAAATCGGATGATGTTATAATATGCTTTTTTCAACAATTTTTACAAATTTCAATAATTTTTCATTCAACATTTTCAATTCAAAAATCGGTTTGACAGTTCATTGCCCAAGAAGCTGTGTCAATGCGACTATCTGTATTCTTCTATCAGGTTCAGGTTTCAATTCAATGGACCATCTCCGCAAGGACATAACTTACAAAACCGGTTTCAACGAATTTATCTTTGGCACTTACCATATTCTCACGAGCTTAAAGATATCATACAAAGGTAAGTTCGGCCGGGCCGACCATCCCTCCACCATTTGGAACGAATTTGGTAATTCTCAAAAAAATAAAATCCGTTAAAAATTCTGTTAAAATCCTAAAAATACCGAATGTAGCCATTATATTAGGGTCTATACGACGACATGAATAATAAATAAATAATGTCGATAAAATCAAACTACCGAATATCGGGAGGTACCGTTATATGGGGGCTATACGAAGACGTGGACCTGCACAGACAATTTTCTGTCGTAGGCTGTAGTATCCATTACGAACTTCAAATACCAAATTTGAAACAATTCTGGTGAAAAAATGTCCATAAAACCATTAAAATACCGAATATCGGGAGGTACCGTTATATGGGGGCTATACGAAGACGTGGACCTGCACAAACAATTTTCTGTCATAGGCTGTAGTATCCATTACGAACTTCAAATACCAAATTTGAAACAATTCTGGTGAAAAATGTCCATAAAATCATTAAAATACCGAATATCTATAGGTGCCGTTATACGGAGGCTATACGAAGGCGTGTACCTGTATGGACAATTTTCTGTCATAGGCTGTAGTATCCCTTGTGAACTTCAAATACCAAATTTGAAACGATTGCGGTGAATAGTGTCGCTAAAATCATCAAAATACCGAAAAGAGGGAGATACCCTTATATGGGGGCAATACCAAAACGTGGACCTATATGGCCCATTTTCAATACCAAAAGTTCTGCAGACATAATACACATTTGAGTAAAATTTTATCAACCTACTTCATTTCATTCGGAAGCTAGAGTGATTTCCACAGACGCTAAATCGACATAGAATTTTATTTTATTTTTTTTATTTTATATTTTGTGGTTTCTAAAATGTATATTTGATGTGTTACAAACGGAATGATAAACTTAATATACCCTGCATACTATGGTGGAGGGTATACAAAAGAAGCGGCGCCAAAAATATTTAAAAGAAGAGGATGTGGAATGGGCTGGAGGACTAAATACAATCCATTTTCTATTGATTTCATATACTAAAGTTACAAAACACAAAAACAAAACAGAAAAGAGAAGAAACACAACTAAAGAATTCGTCAACCTATC